GGGGTGTTGATCTGGTCAACCTTGAGATCCGGCCGGGCCTGGTAGTGGTTGATCGGAATGTCTGACTTTTCCACTAGTAATTAAAGTTCTTTGGTATGACCTCTTTTATCCCTGCTGACGTTATCCTAATGTTCAATTTCAGTCTGCCTCACCAAGCGTAAGAAAGCATTGTACATGTTCTGATAAACCATACTGATGCAATTAAGCAAATGAATATTTGCTGTGGGCAAATATCTATTTTCTATATATATATTTGTGGATATGAAGCATTCTAGTTAATTGTGGATACACTGGGCAGACAGAATTGTGTTTATTTCCAGGCCATCCTGATCGTCGTTTACTACTATAAGGTGTATGTTTTGAGGCAAGATCAAAGGCGCCGCACAGCATTTATTAGATAACAGACGGGGTCGTCCGTTTCGCTTTAAACAACCACCCCACCCTGTCTGTAGGAGTTATATAATCGGTGCGCAAATAACTGTGTCAAGTCCACTGCCGGGCTGATGCGGTGTCGGTGTCAGTGTCAGCGATGAACATGAATGCTCAAATTATAGACCTGTAGCACTCACAAGTTGCTCAGCCAAAATATTTGAAAAGTGTATATTCAATTCTCTGATAACAGCAAATATAACCTTAGAAATAGATTCAACATACAAACAATCAAATGTAGAACACAGACCTATGCTTAGAATAATAATTTCTTCTGGATATGATCAACCTGCGGAACCCTCTATCCGATGAAGTAACTAATGCTCGCTCGTTAAAAGAAATCAAATCATTAATTAATCGTTCTGATGCAATTACTAATAATTTTGACTTCAAATATTTTCATGGATCATGCCAAATTGTCCACTGTCGCCTTAGGCTCGGCTGCAGTGACTTAAACGCTGATAAGTTTAGACGACATGTATCAGACATACGTGACTGCACTTATGGATATCACCTTGAAGATGCAATTCACTTTTTCTATAACTGTCAAAAATACGATAATATCAGAAACACTGTGTATTTCTACACACATGGGTATGGTCTAAAAATGATATTACGTGGCAGTAGTTAAGCAGTTCTACAAACATGACTCTTCTTAAATCAGTTTACGACACCATTGTCAAAAGCAAAAGGTTTGAGTAGCTTAATTTTATGCATGTAGTAAAGGAAAACTGCATTACCTTATTTCACAGACACCACTTGCTTCAGTGTATTGGCTTCGTGTATTTCATTTGTGCATTTTGTATGTTTATGTTCATCACTCTCTTATATATATCCAGCTGTTGTTAAGTTGTTACCTGGAGTGGTATTACATAAGCAAGTTTTGCTTGTTTACCGATCCAGATTTCTTTTGAAATAAAAATACGTTTAAGCCAACACAGCTAACCCTAAAACACATGATTGTAAACTATTCAAAAAGGGGCACTAATCTCTGGCTTCTTCTCGGGTGTCGGACTCAAACTCAAACTCATTTATTCTTAGAATAACATGACATACAATTATCTACAATTTTTATTATGTACAATTTAACAAAAATAATAAAAATAGGATACGTGGATACCAATACAATTTACCAATTGTATTGTACACATTGTTAAGGAATTTAGATAGGCCTTTTAGATTTCTTACACTGTTAGTGGTCATAATTTTCTTAAATGTTTGGAAACTTAAGATATTGCTTATTTAAGAGTTCATATCGCCGTTGGTGAAAAGCTTCACATTGGAATAAATAATGCAATTCATCTCCCATAGCGATAGATTCACAGAGTGGACACTGGCTGTCTTCCCTGGGAATGTTCAGCCATCGACCTGTTTCAACTGGTAATCCTTGGTTGGAAAGTTCTGACTTTAATTTTGAGAGCAGTAGATATTTCGCAAAGGAAGGTTGATTCTTCAGGTAATACGACCTTTGGATTTCCGCTTGGGCTTTCTAGCTGCCGTGAGTCAATTTGCTCGTTAACGCAACCGAGTGTAACAAGAGACTGGGCTACCAGTCTGCAAGGACAGCTAAATAAGCTTACGCATTTTTGAAAACTGATTGGTTACCCGTGATCTATGAAGATTTCAACAAAGGGAGCATGGTAATTAATTTCTTCAGCCTAAACAAACAGACAAATAACGGCGAAAGCTCATCGGATGTCGTTATTTGGAAATACCCCTGATGGTTACAGTTTAATAATAAAAAAGTATCCCTGAGTGAAAGCATTTGCGGATTTCGGATTGCGTGGATGATACAATTACTACTCCCTTGTTGTCATCCACATTTTCTGGTATAACCCTACACTTGTGTATTTGTCGTAATTCACTTGCTGCTCAGTTAATGAATTTATAACATGTATACTTAGTTGTAGCACCACTCAGATTATAAAGGTTCAAATTTGGTCTTTCTTGTACCTGGGGTAATTATTCAATCTAAATCCAGGTTTGAAGTGAGGTGGAATGTGAGTTATGTGATACGCACGTGGCAGCCCAGCAAGAAATGTATGGTCAGTTGCTTTACTTTTTTTGTAAATCAACTGATCATTCCCAGACATCAAAGGATCAACAGGAAATACGTTGATTGATTAATTATTGTTATCTTGCACAGTGGATATGTCAAAAGTAAGTGTTTACATGTGAAGGTAGGTTTACTAAACCTAGGCAATACACTCATATCATGGCGTGAAGTACAGATGTAAAAACAACATACTTTGTTCAAAGGGTAACCGATAATACACTGACTGGTTGTTCATTGTTATCTAACTCAATGTATGTTTTTAAGAACCGAGTACATTATAAAAATAGTTGTCACGTGGGCTTTCTCAGCTAACTTGGCAGCTATGTGAAACAATTGAAACAAACTAAGTGATCAGTTAAGAAACAAACACGGGTTATAATATTCGATACATTTAAATAACGTTTAAAACGATATATTTAAATATTTTAATATATTTCATATATATTCCAAATATTGTTTCCAAATAATTATTATTAAAGTATTTGATTCTCACATAGACATTTGACATCGAATAAGTATTTTTGTACAGCTGCAGACGCAATGGGTATTGTTCCTTTATGTTGATATTCCCGGATACATTATAACTTTGGTAGGTTGTAATCATTATATTTGCATTTTGTTTTCATTCATTCGCTGCAGCTTTGAACAGAATCATTCTTGTTCCTTTCCGTTTGGTTGGGAAGTTTTTCGATGCGCGATAGACGTTGTTTTCACAAGTATTTTCTTTTGTAAGCGTGTATATGTTACAGTCAATGTGTAAAATACGATTCACTCAGGCAATTTATTAAATATCTAAATATTTCAGTCATTTTACAAATTGACTGAATAATCCATTCATTTATTTAACCGACAGATTAAAAATGATAAAGACGATCAAAAGAGCTTAAACACATCACAATATTTATGTGATTTATGTGATGCATTTTGAATGTAAACATATACACACGGTAAAATAAGCAATGTTCAGATGAAATATTTACTTTGTGTTGCAAGTCAAAATAGTGTACACAAAGATCGCACAATTACCAAGCAAGTGACTTACCAAAACTGCATCACTATTACCGATGCTCCCCACAAATATACCTACATTTCATAGGTATTTCATTTTTGTTGATCAATGTGACCATACGTCCTTCTACTTTCAATAAAAATGCGCTTACGAATGGCGAGCACAGGTCGCGAACAAGTCTAGATTTCTGCTATATCATCCGGGTACTCACTGGGAAAATACAGTAATGCACAGGTAACAACTACTCCCGCGGAATTGCTTTAGATCAGTGCTCCTTTGTACGTTGAATTACTATATATTGTGAATGCCAAAATGATGTATCAAGGATCAAGTAGAAGATACATTGACCGTAGCGCTGGGAGTTTATTCAACAGACCCGTGAAAATAACACTGCTGTTTCTTACTATTTATTTTAGATGACGCAGTCAAAGCTCACTTCTCCTGGCGGCCATTATCGAACGGCCAGCTAAAACACAACCCCGCGATTACGTCTACAGGTCTCTTCCTGTAGTACGGTAATTAGTATTCTCTCCCTCAAGTGTATCCTCAATGATATAACCCACCCTCATTAATTACATGCTGCTCTTTCCCAGCCTCACGGCTATGGAGCTGAGATAAAGAGTCCAAGTCATCATAAAGTAATTAGGGTCCAATAAAAACAATGCGCCGCCAAACCTCATACATATTTTCACTGAAAGTCGTACTACAGACGGTTAATGTCAAATCACAATAAAAGCATTTCAATTGCAATAACATGTTCCAGGACCATGTATTCTCTTAACACCATCGGATTTAGAAGCAATGGTCGTATAAAACAAGACAGATCTATTTAAACACAACAGTATTCATGTTATTCCCACAAAATCACATAAAGAAAGGAGACATTAGCAAATACATGTGTATTATCATTTTTCGTCAGGATAACAAAATTTTCTCTCCTTGTTACCACCTCCAGGTTCAGCTTAAGACGGGTCCTCCTTTGGTCAAAAGTTTGTTCCCCCTCTAATGAGTGTGTCACGCGTTGCACACGAGTGGCGGACGGGGTGCACACCCGTGTGCAACGCGTTGCACACGGGTATCACACGCGTGACCAACCCGATGCACACTGGTTGCGTAACGCGTTGCCCATGCGTGTAAGGGGAATGAACTTCTAGGCAGTAGTGTAGATCAATGTGTTTAGTTGTGAATGTTCTCATGATCTAAATCTATGTTGTTAAGGAGGCTAAATATTAACAGTATGACATACACGAAGGACAGTGTCAAACAATCGTGCCACACATTTTTATCATGAGAAGGCAATCCACGTTAAATGTTATTGTCAAAACATTTTCTTGAAAACATATCTCTCAATAGTATAAACATGTATTGCTCTAGCAAGGTAGTTGTGTCACGCTGTATGCTCTTCCTCGGCCTTCCGTGCATAAATCTTTATCATTCACAGACTAGACACCAGGCCAACATCTGGGTGTAATCTTTCTAATTTTGAGGCCCATCATATGCCACTTCACACTGCAAGAGATACTATTTAAACCGGCTTCTTCCAGGCGTGAGTCAACAAGCGAGGAGGGCATCCTAAGTATGATTACAGTGATTTTGTTGCTCTCAATTTGGCATACAGGTTAGTATAGTGCTGTGCGCTACGGATTTTTTATCATGGTAAGAATGAGTGAGTGAGTATGGTTTTACGCCGCTTTTAGAAAGGGAGGGTGAGTGTAGGGTGGGCGAGACTATTTGCTGTTCCGGCAAATGAAATCTGCCCTACGTGGAAGAGCGACGTTTCCAGGATGACGAGAACATAATATAAAGGCTGTCACAGAGGCGTGGTAAGTGGGCCAATCTGCGGATTTCTATAAACGTGGTATTAAAAGCTTGAAGGACAAATGGAATAAGGGTATTGAGGTGAATGAAGATTATATTGAAAAATAAAAGTGCAATAGATATTCTGTGACTTAGTCTTATATTGAAGTTGCAAAACTTATTGAACGCCCCTCGTACATCTACATATAGCATTGAGCTCCGGAAGTTGATGACATAATGATGATTATTTCTTTTTCAAAGTATGCCTTATATCTATTACTTAGTCTACTACAGCAGCGGCGGCATGCTGTCCAGATGGGTGGATGCAGTATGGTGGCTCCTGTTACACCATCATCACATCACAGAGGGACTGGACTGAAGCATCAGTTCGTATTGTTATTGCTTCCAACACGTTCATAATTTTTATCTTTCAAATGAAGAGGTTTAAATTACTATTCGGTTATGTGAAGTACTACGAGCATTTTTGTTAACTGATTTACAATTTTTACTTTACACTCCATACTTTCTCTGTCTCTGTCTCTGTTGAAAATCCAATTGTTTATATAATCAATTTACATAATCTGATCTTAACCATATAGTTGTTTCGTCAAGTTAACAAAGCCTTCTGGTGTTGTTTTGATAGACCGACTGTGGTATTTACGGAGCACACCTGATACATATTGAAACAAAGGCCGAAAACGACTTCATCAAAAACTACTTGAAGAAGTTTACAAGTAATACATATATACTCATATGTCTGCAAAAAAACAATACAGAGTAACCATTTATAATATCCAAATACACGTCGGTAATACTAAGTGGAGAAACAGAATAACGCTTGTGATCTGATAACTGGTAGTGTAAACGCACCAAGTTGATTATGTTCTTATTTGTCATGCCAGAAACTGGAGCCTCCTTGACATCTTGGATAGGTTTGAGCGACATGATTGGTTCCTGGCAATGGACTCCCCAGGGAGAACCTGTTTCCTTCACAGACTGGTCACCAGGGCAACCTGGTCGCAATGAGCCAAATTCTAACTGTGTAACTCTCTGGGCACCGAAAGGCTACACATGGGATGATTACGGATGCAACTTATCTGCCAACTTCATATGCGAGAAGGCGTATGTACATAGAGTATACTATACTCATTTCCGTTTATCAACTAAGATACCATTTGCTACGAAACAAATTAAAGGACTTCCTGTCGTATCTGGCATAGGAAGCGAGGTAAGATATAAAGCAAGTTCATGAGTATTTTACTATATTGGGAAAATGGAAAAATGTAATATCAGAATGCTTTCATGTTAACTGTATAACTTGCATGTGTGTCATTGGCAACTTGAAACGAAGGGCAGGGTCGCCATCATAAATGATCATCAGATAATCACCATCTATACCATTTCACGCCAGACATCAATATTCAATGTTATTGTTCACCTTTGTGGTGTTTCGGGCTACGTTCATGGAGTTTTCGTATGATGTGTGTTATAAATGTTCAATTTTAGTGATATGATCGTGTAGCCGTGTACGTTCAGTCTTACAGGGCCACTAAATACGCTTCGAAGGAGATGCTCAGAGAACAGCCTGACATCCTGTAAATCTAGATATCGGTCTAAACATCTTAAACAGACATCTTTTCGCCACACCGAACTTTTTACATTATATCAAATTGAAAGTCGCGAAAGTGGTCGGGTGCATCGCGCTCACATGGACACTGATCTATCGGTATATATGTTACATGACAAATGGATAGACAGAAATCATAATGTCTGTAGTAGTTCTGTGCATATCTAACACAGAATGAAATCTTTGAATGACATTTAGAAGTGATACACATAAGGAAGATAATTTATGGATGTCAATTACTATATTATGAGGAACACAACTTTTGGGAGTGCATGTTTACTCCATCATCAGGTGAATACTGAATTGAAACAAAATGTGATGCATGTGAAGACCTTATTTCTTTATCTTCGAAATAGTCTCGTTATTTGTTTTGAAAGAAAAAGAAGTTCTAGGGTGACCTTTCACGCGTGACCTCAGCGAGGTCACAGGTATAAAAACAAATATAACGAGGCGAACCTTATATATGCGACACAAGTGTTACATACGGATTAATTATATGCAAGCCTCTTTACCCCGATGGTAATAAAGTATAGTATGTTGTATCTGCAGTAGCTGTCTGTCGCTATATAACGCACATTTAACAGATGTATATTCCTAAGTTATATGTTTCGTGGGTTTTTTTGTTTAACGCAGCGCTCAGCAATATTTCGACGAAATGACGATGGCCTGAATATAGGTTAGTCTGAACCAGGAAAATCAGTGACTGATATTTGGATCAACGTCACACATTGTTGGATAATGTGCAATATTTGGAGGCTGAGTGGGGCGTCGTTTTATCGACCTCATTACGGATGCGTGAAAGCGATAAAGCGATAACACCAGACAAGAAAGCGATACACAATATGCTTTCTCTTCTCGTGGTATCTTTTTCTAGTCTCTTATATACGCTTCATCGCTTTCTCTTGGCCGTAATTAATGTTGAAAAAGCGATGTCCCCCTCGGTCAACTCAGTAATAGGCAGATGGACCCTTTCTTAACTAGATCATTTTATGATGCATGGAGGTTTATAGTGCATGTGTTTTCCTTTCAGGATTGAGACGACCCCTCTTGTTGGATGAACCAAGGTACCAAGTTCACATATGATTTTATTTCAAAGGCCAGTTGTACGGAGTTTTGTAAATTGTACAATTTGCAATAAACACAATCCCAGCCTTCATCAAACTATTCTAATCGCCATGCTTTCCCCTTGTTCGTACAGGTGATAGGTTTTTAGCATCAAGTGACATACATTCACACGCATAATGACAACTGTCCACTTGATGCATGAGATTCGCTGATTACAATAGCATATATAAAATAAATACTAGCACACGCGGAGGCCAGATTAGCCTGAAATGACTGTTATTGAATCTGAGAACATTTAACATCTTCGTTCAGAGTTAATGTTTTTAAATGTAAGTGAATGGTTCGTCGTTATTTGGAAGAAAATGAGAATGTTTTTGTTTGTTTGTTTGTTGTTTAACGCCGCACTCAGCAATATTCCAGCTATATGACGGCGATCTGTAAATAATGGAGTCTGGACCAGACAATCCAGTGATTGACATCATGGGCATCGATCCACGCTATGGGATACGATGACATGCATCAACCAGGTCAGCGAGCCTGACCATCCGATCCCGTTAGTCGCCTCATACGACAAGGATAGTCGCCTTTTACGGCAAGCATGGGTTGCTGAAGACCTATTCTCCCCCGGATCTTCACGGGGTAAATAAGGATGTGCAATGTAAGAGTGGGTTCGAATCCCGGTTCGCCCCGATTATGTTTCTAGGGATGTCAGCACCATACCCATGCTCGAGGGTTTCACCGAAGTGGTAAACGTCGAAGACCTGCATCACTTCGGGCTTTCCTCCAACATAAAGCTGACACGCCGCGATATAACTGGAATACTTTAAAAAGAGGCGCTAAACGCAACTCACTCACTCACTCACTCACTATCAACATGCTTGTGCCACCCATGTCTCTCATGTTACAGTTGATTGATGTGAATGAAGTTATATATACATATATGTACACAGTTTAAAACGCCAAATTTCGGTTTTAAGACATATTTGTACAAACGTCACATTTCATTTACAAAATAATGCATAATTGTTAAGGAAAGGGTCACAATTAAATTCATTAAACACTTGTTCAGGTTTAGACTTAGTCTTGCATTCAACTCCAAGCGGAGTGAGAAGTTTGTCACTGAGTCTTGCGAATGTGACGTTGTGTGGCAAGAACATACGGCAAAATATTGCATAAAATAGCGATTTTGTAATGATCATAATTCAGTGAATACACAAAATCTATACATTGCTTTGCATAAATATGTACCACAGCAAGGGGAGTAACTCGAGCAGTCTTGAGGGAGTAGGACAGCGTTGAAACTGGGCATACGAGGCCAGCATAGCCAGACTGATAGATAGACAGATAGATATATATAAAATCTCTCTCTCTCTCTCTCTCTCTCTCTCTCTCTCTCTCTCTCTCTCTCCCTCCCTCTCTTTATATATATAAATATGTGTGTGTATTTATATTATTATATATTGTTGGAATATTGCTGACTGCGCTTTGAACAACACTCATTCACTAGATCAATTCTAAACAGACCCATTTTAGACCCATTGTAGTATTGTCTTTACCAATGCGTCTTAAAGTCTAAAATGGGTCTGTTTAGTATTGATCGAGTAAATGAGTGTTAAAAGCCGCAATATTCCAACAAAGTCACAAAATCTGACCTCCCGATGACGGATAGTGGGAACTAAACCAATGTAACCTTACAACATTATGTCATGGTGAACCAGTCATGTTGTTGCAATACATAAATACATAGGTACAGAATGATGAGACATTGGAGCCTGGCATAGCCAGATGGTTAAAGTGTTCGCTCCTCACGCCGAAGGTCTGGGTTCGATTCCCCACATCGATGAAATATATGAAGCCCAATTCTGATGTCCCCCGCCTTGATATTGATGTAATATCGCTAAAGCCACACTTACTCACTAAAATATTTTATTCCTATTTTACAAATATTGTGTGGTGACGCTATATCTTCCTGTTTCTTTCGACCATTTATATCCCGATCTCTTGGCTCGGTGAGAAACTTATAGACTGTCGCTCATATTAAGCGTTCTCCTCTATTACAAAAAGCGTGCATGCTAGTCGGATAATGATAATAGTTGAGTAACTGATAACATAGTTTTGACGATTTGCTGAAATATTCGATATTCGAATAGTTTTTAACAAGTAATTTCCGTGACAAGTAAAATAAAGTTTCTTTGAAAAGTTTTCCTAAAGTTTATTTTTCATATTTCCAATGACAGACATTGTACAGTAGGAATTTTACTTTAATATTTTAGACATGTTTCAGTGTATAAGTATTACTACAGAGGTCATTTGTCAGTCTTCATCTACAGTTAATTGTGCTACTCTCCATCTTCTATCAAATTAACAGGCCTCAACCATCCTTAACCCTCTCGCCAAGGAATTACAGTTCGAACAGACCTTGTAAGTATAAAATATGTCAGACTTGATATAGCCATGTGCATTACTCATTCCTTCATCAAAAAGATGCAGATTCATATGGTTCAACGTTAATCTAACCAAAATGAAACTTTAAGGCATCTGTTTCATTTGAATAAATACTAAATACGATAAGTATGACGCTAAATATAACCTTACTGCATACTACGCCTACAAACAAAAGCTGTTTAACAAGCATAGTATTTATGAGCCTAGAATAGTCTGGACAATGTTTCAGCTCCGATCTAACAGTGTTGTTATACCAATCAGGTTACATATTTCCTGTTTGTATGCAGTAAACCGTAATGTGTTGCCTTCCTTGTAGTAGAATATCTTTGGTGTTAGGCCCAGTGTGACTTCAGTAAATGAGTCTATCTAACACAGTCAGTGCATATAGGTATGTCCACAAAGTTCAAAAAAAGATTTCTTGTGTATTCTTCTGTGGTAAAGACATTTTGATTCAGGAGTAAAACTTATAATTACTTCTCGTCCTTGAGTCCTTGGTGAGTCGTGCTAGAAATACTTCTATGGTCATTGATATTGATTGGGGCGGCTGAAACATGTAATTTCTTTACTCGTCTTCTTTCCCTGAAACACCAAAATATAATGAAAACCAACATATTAATATACTCAGTTCCTATGATACATCGTAATACATATACCCTGACTTATCTTTATACAGTTTAAGAGGAATATTTTGCAAGGAGTATTTTTTTTAAATTACACGACAACTTTTTAATTAGGATGTCCTCTAAACCTATGTGACCTGTAGTAAACCTACTGATCTAAAAAATATGTTAATCTTGAAACATGGCCCACAAATAAAACTAGACACATGGGTGAAACAAATAGATACGTTTGACAATAACACGTATGTAAATTATTCTGTTTATTTATTCAAGAATAGTAGTTAAGGCGCTATCATCTTGACAATAATAGCTCCTTCGAACACGTACCTGCAGTAACCAACAAGCCCCATTAATAGTATCGCCACTACAACGGCAGCAAAAATACCGACGACGATCAAGCTGACTAAAACATAACACAAATGCATTGTCTGTAATACAACACGAAACTGTACTAAATAATTAACAGGCAATAAGGCAGGCCGCTGTTTCAATTAGCTGCATCTGCCTTTGATCACAATGACAAGTCATCGTATAGATGATAACCTTCTTTACCTTTTGTGACGTTGTGAAGCAGTTATAAAGATAAGGAAGATAATGTATGGATGTCAACTTCTTTATTAACAGGAACACAACGTTTCGGGGTATATGCTTACTCCTTTGTCAGGTGAAGATGAAGGAGTAGGCATATTCTCCGAAACGTTGTGTTCCTCATAATAAAGAAGTTGACATCCATACATTCTCTTCCTTATGTGTATCACTACTAAATGCCTTTCAAAGACCAATTATAAAGACTTCCAATATTTACTTTAGGCGATGCTAATTTATGGCCGAAATGTCACTTCTATAAAGAGTACTGTCATCAAGTACTTTGAGTGTATGGCACACAAAAGTTATATTCCATTGGAAATTCAGGCGAATAAATTAACCGTTATCAAAAAAGGCCTTCATGCATTCTTATTTCGATATGCGGACTTCAGACGGACTCCAGTAGGACAAGCACACGCTTTAACAACTGATCTGGCTATCAAACCGCAGATCCCAGTGCGTAGATCTGAAGGATGTATCCATGATATCACGATTCTTACCAACAACAGCAGATATAGCAGTGGCTTGCTGTGTATTGTCAGTTTGATGGGATGATGCATCTGGTGTCAATGTCCCTTGTGTACAAGTCAACCCCATTGATCCCACTGGAAATATAAATGATAAGTCATACAATCATGTCACATTCAATCGGTCATAAACGCTGAACACAGACACTATAAAGGCCTGAGGCGTTGAATGGCGTTACTCAGTGTTCTAATGATTATTATGTTCTAACCACTTGCGTTATTGTTTAATTATTTAAAGCTTTTGATTTCCTTTAGAACAACTAAATCTATCTGGATAGAAGATAACGAGTATGATTTCGACAACAAAGTGGAGACAATTATGTAAATGGATCACTGACAATCCGTGATACCAGATGTTTGCTAAAGGGGAAAGCATTTCCTGCTCTACTGTAACACCCACCTCTCACACAATTTGCATAGAATACAGATTAACAAAATAGAGATCAGTATGCATATCCAAACTAGCGCAAGCTAAGTGTCACCTAATCGTGAGAGATGCATAATAAATACATAATAACTAAATATTTGTATAGCATTAGTGTTCATTTAATGTTGACTGTTCGGAATCACTGTGAGCGACTGCATACCATTAGGCATATTTAAGAAAAAGATTGAGAGTCTGGTCTAATATACGTTTATGCCTCTGTGGACATTTGCCCGGAATGTAGTCAGTTCTTGGATGCTTCAGATCTTAAGCGGTAGAGTTTTCCAGAACAAAAGAACTGGCGACCTCCAAGATGACATGGTGGTCCCTGATGCAGAGACACTCAACTGGTGGTGTTGACCTGACAGAGATCTCTAAATAATCGAGTCTGACAATCCAGTGATTGACATCATGAGCATCGATCCACGCAATTGGGATCGATGACGTGCATCAACCAAGTCAGCGAGCCTGACCACCTGATCCCGCTAGTCGCCTCAAGCATGGGTTGCTGAAGACCTATTCAACCTCGGATGTTCACGGCACACCTATATATGTGGCGAAATGGCCACCTAATACTATTTGAGCTGGGCGCTGGTTTGCCTATACCAGACTGTATCATTTATAGGCTGTCGAGATTTCACAAGGAAAATTCGATCCCTGTAAGCTCACCTTCCGTTGTTGTTTGCACCACCTTCACACAAAAGTCAGCTATGACGTCAGGGGAGGGTTTGAAAAATGAAATGAAGACTGTCTGTCCGGGCTCGATTCTTCCTGCTACAGTTGGGGGTGACTGATCTGCACAGTTATACATGTGATCGATTGGGGGTGAGAAATACAGGGTAGCGTCACAGGCTGCGTCGACTTCATGAACTGATAACTCGAGATCAACGGCAGCACCTTGCGCTCTGAGTTGGCAGACACAGTTGCCCTCATAGTTTACACCTCTGGCGGTGTTCAAGTAGAAAATGTCTCCACTAACAAAGTTTTTCTCACATATATGCACAACTGAAATTGAATGAATACAGGTTATTCAGGTGTACACAAAACATACATGTATGTAAGAAGAAGAAGCATTGTGTAATATTTGTCACTTAGGGGATATAGTTCCTCTTCTCTATATGGCTTACATAACGCCGATGCTATGTTAAATTTTAACCCATCCACTAAGGGATATGTCTGTCCTTACACCAATGATTTTTAGATCTATTGTATGATCAGAAGAACGCTGATTCCACTGTACGATTCCGACTACATCATAATGTGTTTATGAATCACTACAGTGATGAAACAGGGTGTTCGCGAAAATGTGAGTGTACCCAGCCCCAATCAGCGACACCGGTCACAAACACATGCAGAGACAAGTCAAGTGTTTACTGCTGCGAATAACGGTTGTAAGCTAAGTCTTAATATCTAATACGATAAAAATATAAGAAAATTGTAATTTTGTTGTATGCTTTCTTAGATGTTTTGGCGCTTACAAGTATCCTGATAACGGGGAGTAACATACATACCTTCCTTTCCATCTTCCGAAGGACAAATATTTCCTGCAACCAACAGATAATATCAGTTAACGCTGTAGGGCTCTTTTTCCCTGTCTCTGCGTGCTCACGCGAAATAATTTGCGTCAGCGTTACAAAATGCGTGAAGACATAAATACTTTACCCAGTTTGTATAACTATTACATGTATACGCATTTGACTGACTGTCGCATATAATCCCCACACTAAACCTTAGCAATTTCTATCAAGCTTAGTAAATGCTGCCATTTATCCGTGATGGTGCGTTTTTGACGTGTCCGTGTTAGCGAATCTAGCTACACTTGAACTCAATTACTAACGAGCCGTATTCGTAGGGAATCAATATTGTTTTCCAAGACATAATTTACAAAACCCATTCCGTAATGATCATTGCCTTGTAAGTCATGGCTACGGTCTTAGTCGTGCGAAACGTGCATACCAACAAATGCTCCTTTCATTTTCGCATCAAAAGGTGTAAAATATTTAGATATAGTGATCGCAAATGTAATGCTATTTAATGGAAACCCAATCTCGTAATTGGTGGACTATTAACAGAAACCATGTTATCGTTGTTGTTTTTGTCTGTTTTTAACGCCGCACTGAGCAATATCCTAGCTATTTGACTGCGGTCCGTAAATAATCTGGAGCAGACAATGCTGTGATTGGCATCATGAGCATCGATGCAATTAGTGGGATACGATGACATGTTTCAACCATGTCAGCAAACATGAAACCCGATCCCGTCATGCCTCTTACGACAAGAATGGGTTGATGAATACCAACAGTTACTCTAACTCGGATATGCATGGGTCAAACCATGTTATCAATACTGCAACAAAGTAAATGTGGCCTTGGTACTGCGCCCTGACCATTACTGTTATTTCTAACACTAGATGACAAAAGAAAACAATTGCCTTACCTTGCATTAGATACGGACTTGGTAAACTTAAAAAGAAAATGATCCCGATACTGTTATCCATCTTTCAAAGAATATTTATGTCACTGTTTAAGTCCAAAGTAAAACTCACTCCACCACGCCATCGATTTTAACATCTAACTCGACTTTTACCTCAGGTCATGTTCTCGTGGTTAAAGTTACACTGACAGCAATAAATGCCTTACCTATCTATTGTCCTTCCTGTCAGCAGCATATAATTGCATGAGTCGTGCGCGTGTGTATCTTTCCATTGGACAAAGATCAGAGTCACAGATATCTTCAGATGTTTACGTACATAGATCAGTGACCTATGTTTAACACTGGCCCCCACATTCTTTCAACGTGTGCCATAAAAGGTCTTAACAATAGATGAATATTGACTGCGAATTACTGTATGTAAAGTAAATTGATTTTCCTCATCTTACACTTGTTATATCAATTTTCTTGATATCCTTCACAATAATCAATACGTTTTGAATAGTAGTAAATATATTTCTGCAAGTTTATTTGAAATATACATGTATATATGTTACAGGGAATATGTATAATCAGGGAATATGTATAATCCCTGAAATTTTCAGGGAATATATTTAATGTCTGATTCACTCAGGGAATAAACATAATCCCTAAAATTTTCAGGTATTATACACATTCTCTGATTTAACATCAAATTTGTTAGACATATTGCCTGAAATTACTTTTGAGGCTCTTATATGGTCAAACTTGATAAAAAAAATCGAGAAGACAAATTTATTTGACCTGATAACAAATACCTTTCACTTAACTTAACAATTAGTCTTAACTGTAATGAAGTCATAGGATAAAAATGAGATTAAATACTGTAAATCGTGAAATTAATGCGTCTCAAAAAGAATGCGACTGCTGGCCCCTAGCCAAAAATGCGACTCAGTATGAATGCCACACCCCCCTCCTCTCAAACATCACTGGATTTATATCTAAAGAAAATACAAAAAACGAGTTCGCAGTTGCCACAACATGCGAAATTCAAGGTATAAAACTGCTGACATTATGTATTACCTCACATGTTCAAGATGGAGTTAGAGGAGGATTTCTGAAAAAAATCTGTACAAGAGCTATGAAGAGAACAAACGAGTCTTGCTACCCAAGGGAAATCATATGCGAGATACTAGAAGCCACAGCTCATTACAGTTAAGACTAATTGTTAAGTTAAGTAAAAGGTATTTTTTTTATCAAGTTTGACCATATGAGAGCCTCAAGAGTAGTTTCAGGGAATATGTCTAACAAACTTGATGCTAAATCAGGGAATATGTACAATACCTGAAAAATTTAGGGATTATGTATATTCCCTGCGTGAATCAGACATTATAATATTCCCTGTAACATATATACATTATATAATGTCATTGTTGAAACATCCTCACCATACGGCATTACAGTTTGCTTCGTATTGCAAAGCCATTTAGACTAAAGAGAGGGTAACGCTTTAGAAAATTTAATTCAGACAATTTTCGGTTAAAAGCAAGCCTATCACTACATGGCTGTCACCTTTGCTACCTATTGCAAGTCAAAAATCAGACATTCAAAAACTAATGAGCTGTCCATTTGATTGCAAGGGCAGTCGAATACTGTAGTGTTGTGGTTAGAAGCGTGTTCTTCAAGTTATTTACATGGAATAAACCAGCAACTCATTGCAAATGCGTTTAATTCCACAGATGACCTACTTCATCATGATTGCGATATTCTCTTAAGGTAAGGACAGTGTAAGTATGAAGTCAGAATCAAGTTTGTATGGTTTATTCACGAGGCAAAATTATTGTCTTCAATCCTATAAACAACGTGAAGGCCCAAGCAAAACGCATGTACACCATTGTTGCATATCCTGGATGGATTAAGATTTCCTTCTTCTTCGAACAATAACATTTGCGTCACTGCATATATTGGGTGATATCGTGAGCTAGGTTATGTTGTCCATATTCTCAATTGTTCCCAGCAGTCCCATTTGGTCCATCTATCTCCATGCGAACTCACATCCGTTGCGGAAAACAATACATAGATTTAAACAACAGTTAAATCAGTCATGTTAATCAAATGCCATATATCGCTTGTTAGCTTTCTCGAACCGACTTTATCATATCCCACTGTTCAGCACATGTTATCAGACACATTTTGATTTTTAAGCAAGTATTGAAATACATTGCTGCCTTGAGGAAGGTCCTTGTGTTCGTGAAGTGTTGGTCTTCGTCGTTACACATTGGTATGTCCATTGGGAAGATTCTGTGCAGCTCTTAGTTTGCCGAGTCTTGATTTGTCCCTGAAAAAGAAACATCTTTGCATGAGGAATCTCTTCAAATGGATATTGAAATTACACATCTTGCTCAAAGGTGAGAATATTTATTTTACGTATGCTGTACTTGACGTTTTGATCTCGACTGGACTTCATTTCCCTCCTTATGACGGGGGAAGGGGGGGGGGGGGGGGGGGGAGGGGATGGTCGGTCGGGCAGCCTAGTGGTTAAAGCGTTCGCTCGTCAGGCCGAAGACCCGGGTTTGATTTCCGACATGGGTACAATGTGTGAAGCCCATTTCTGGTGTACCCCGCCGTGATATTGCTGGAATATTGCTAAAAGCGGCGTAAAACCATACTCACTCACTCACCCTCCTTATGACGGAAACACGAATATCTCCATAGACCATTGTTTGTGTAATGTTCATAATTTAAACACTTACCTGCAGTAGGTAAAAACCCCAAATAGTATCATCACGACCACGATTGCAGCGAAGACCCCAACAACGACAAAGCTGACTAAAATGGAAAAGTTGAACACATTGAGAATACTTTGATAAATATTATAAAATATAATTACATAATGCTCATATTACATTGGCGTCAACAACGGACATTGCCTGTAACATCTGTCTGTTCTTAAAAGTTTCTAATTGCATAAATATATTTGGGTATTACTTATCTACCACCATCTAGACACTTTTTGTTACTAAATGTATTCATGTACAAAATACGAGTCGAAATAGTTATAAACATGAATAAAACATATTCAATTTCAGGTTAAATGGATATACGACGACCAGTGATATAAAAAGTTGAAATAAATATGTATTCAACGACGTATAATTATTTTATCATAAAGTGTGTCGTTTATATTCATGCTATGGATTTGTGTTAAGTTTATACAATGGATTTTTTTTATAAATGATGATATGAGACTTTCAGCGTGGCTGCACATGACGGAACGATACCGATTCTTACCCACAATGACGGACTGAGGAGTCTCTGCAGTATTAAGACCTGTGTTTCCGGACGGTGTTATATTTGGACTTTCAGTGGATGATCCTTTACTCTCAGTTACTGTATTATCCGGACTTTCACTCGATGATCCTTTGCTCTCAGTTACTGTATTATCCGTATTTTCACTCGATGATCCTTTGCTCTCAGTTACTGTATTATCCGGACTTTCACTTGATGATCCTTTGCTCTCAGTTACTGTATTATCCGGACTTTCACTCGATGATCCTTTGCTCTCAGTTACTGTATTATCCGGACTTTCACTGGATGATCCATTGCTCTCAGTTACTGTTTTATCCGGAATTTCACTCGATGATCCTTTGCTCTCAGTTACTGTATTATCCGGACTTTCACTCGATAATCCTTTGCTCTCAGTTACTGTATTATCCGGATTTTCACTCGATGATCCTTTGCTCTCAGTTACTGTATTATCCGGACTTTCACTCGATGATCCTTTGCTCTCAGTTACTGTATTATCCGGAATTTCACTGGATGATCCTTTGCTCTCAGTCACTGTATTATCCGGCTTTTCACTTGATGATCCTTTGCTCTCAGTTACTGTATTATCCGGACTTTCACTTGATGATCCTTTGCTCTGAGTAACAGAAGTAGTCAAAGTGGTTGCTACGTTATTGGGAGCGTTGGTTGGCGAGGACGTTGTTGCTGGTGGACTTGTTGATTTCAGTGTGCCACTGGAGCAGGCTACGTTAAGTGATCCAGCTAAAAATATATAAATTGTCATGAAACCAAGGAACACTACTCAACTGCTGACTCGCACTGAGCACTCCAACTAATCAGACTGCAATTCATGCAAATGTATCACCTCGTAGACATTAATCGTTTATACCACCTTCTCATGCAATCAATTCATGAACTGTATGGCAGTAGGGTATCACAGAACGGTAAAAGTGTGGGTGACAATGCCCCAAAAAATATCTAACCATCACAAAGAAATATCTTTCATATTGACCACACTATGATATGAACGCTGTATGACGCTTCATACTGACAACAGCTGTAGTCCTACGATTACGCAGAGTTTCTGACCAGAGAGTACGGAACCGCATTAGAGAGGCAGGTCACAGAACAAGACAGCCTTCCGAGGATATGTTTTAAGTATCATCATCCCATGTGGACGCCTGTGGTGCCAAGCAGGCAGAATGTGGTCAAACTAGCAAGGGAGAATGGTTTGGTTCAGCGATGAATCGAGATTTATGATTTCATGAGCTAACGGAGAACCAGATTGTACCGACATGGCTAGGAGCGTCTTGCTGTTGATACCATGCGAACGTATGGAGGAACGTGAGATAAATTATTTCCTTTCAGTTTTATTAGATCAATGAAGTTAAGAGATGGAGCTATTAACCACGATGCCTATTTGTAATGGTTTAGCTTCTTTGACCCTCTTCCAATGTATCTTTCAACCTGAAAACGACCCTTAAGTTTAAAAAAAATAATTCTGCATTTGATTCTAAAATACTAAACATGCGGTTGTGAAAACATAGTTTTTGCATATATACCTTACATCAAATTAATAAATTAAGTTTTAATTCGAGATCCTTTGACATGAATACAATGTGTCGCGGAACCTATTATTTAAAGCATTGTACATTGTTTTGCTAGCTTTATTCTAAAGATAACAACATATCTAAAGTTAACGCCAGAATAACCAGTCTCGATTAACTGCCTCAACAGATTCCATAGGACGTAAGAGGCAAAGATAGCAGTGAAAATTACATGAAAGGATCACTGATAATGAGACTATATTATTTTTTAGTTCATGGCCAACACCTGGTTACATTTATAAATAAAACCTAACCCGACACAATCAGTCTTTTTTCATCTTGAACGTTGACCTGATACCTGCTAGGTGTACACTTACGATACATTATAACTGCATCCAAATGCATCCATGGTTCAGTTACATTATGCAAACTCACCTGATGATGTCTGTACTAAATGGACGCAGAAATCGGCTACGTCAGAGCTTTTGGTGAGAGAAAGGAAGACCGACTGTCCTGACTCAATCCTTCCTGTAGTAGTTGCGGGTGTCTTGTCTGCACAGTTATAGGTGTGATCAATAGGCGGAGCGAAATACAGGGTAGCGTCACAGGCAGCATGAACCCCCTGAACTGATACCTGGAGATCAACAGCGCCTCCCTGTGCTCTGAGTTGACATGTGCAGCCGCCTTCATAGTTGACAGCCTTAAAGGTGTCCAGATAGACGGATGTTCCAGTGGCAAAGTTGCCCTCACATACGTGTACAACTGAAGTACAATATACACTTGTTGGTTGAATAATAATAATAATAATAATAATAATAATGATAATTATTCCGGTGAAAAAGAAAAAAATTAAGCTGCTATTATTATTATTATTATTATTATTATTATTATTAGCTTTTTTACCGGCTTTACCGACACTTTTTATTGTATATTGATTTCAGTATTCTACCTATTTCATTTAAGAGACTATGTATCTAATTTTTCATTTATATGATTCAAGGTAAGCATAAATATACAGGAAGAACCAGCGTTTGTTTTGTGTATTTGTTGTTTATAATTAGTGCCACACTCAGTGATATTCCAGCTGTATATATGACGGCTGTCAGTCAGCGAGTCTGACCACCCGGTCCCACTAGTCGCCTCGTAAAACAAGCATGGGTTGCTGAAGACCAATGCTAACACGGATCTTCACAAGTAGGGTGCCACTGGCACTGGTGTTGATATATGTATTGTTGAAGTATTACATATAGTGACGAAACAATATATGATGTCATCAATAACTATACTCATTTACGTCATGTTTGGTTCAGTCAACATCCCTGATTCTATTTCGTCCCTACAGCCTTTCTAACAGTGCACAATGTGAAATTGTTTTGACGTCACATTGATTTTTCGAAACGTATATGTAAGAGGAGATGCTATCAACTGAATGGATTACGTAAATGACATTTAACCTGACTTTAAGACAATGATAAGCATACATACCCTTTTCTCCAGATGACGTTGGACATATGTTCTCTGCAATCAGCACAAAATACCAGATTATGCAATGTCTACGTTCATCACTCCGTATCAATACCTCCTTTACTCTACGATTATATGCGTGAATAAATACGTTTAAACATTGTATGTGGTAAGAGGGATATTGTATATACAACTGTACGTGTTTTGTTGTGTTAATCAGGGATAAAAGCCGAATCCGCTAGAAGGATTCCCGCCTATATGTATTAAAACGATTGTGTTAGAAATGGATGTATAGACATAACTACATGTAAATTGTCAAATGGGAAACAAAAGGGGTTGGCATGGTTCTTGGCGTGAACATTAAACCTACACCTTTAGCCATATATCGGGCATTTAGTCACAGAGTTTCCCGACCGCCTCCGTTTTTTAGTGGTAGAGCGTCCGTCCGGAGAGCGGAAGGTTCGATCCCCGGTCGCGTCATACCGAAATACGTTAAAACCTCGTACTTGTTGTTACCCTGCCTGACGCTAGGCATTAAGGGGCTAAAACGAGGACTGGTCGGCTCGGAGTCAGTATACTGTGTCTGAGTGGGGTTTTCATGTTAAACTAAGGCCTTTGCATATCAGTGGGCTAGCACTATAAATTGGCATCAGTCCACAAACACACACACGTGTATGCACGTCGCTATATATGTGCAATCCCATATCACCTCACCTCATCTCACCCGAGTTTATTATTAAGTTATGAATAATGATGTTTAGATTTCATAAATAATTATTTAAACCACATATGGAAAACAGTTTATCTGGAAAACATCTCTTTAGCCTTTGTCATAAGAAAAATGTTGACATGTTGAGAAATAGGAAATAATTGCCTTCTGGTGTGTTGCACAGCCATACCTAATATAGGACATTTACCATCCCAAATTACACAAGCGTGATAACCTCTTTTTCATCTATTGTCATTCTTAAATTTTGTCGTCGAAAACCTGTATTGCTCTCTCACAAACATTACCTAAACATTGCAAGTGCGCATCAACATATATTACGTGAGAAGGTCAGTAATTCGTCAGTCGTACAGTAGGGACGGTCAATTTAGTTCCCATTGAAACCTGTTTCATAGTCACTGACGTAACTACATATAGGCAAAATAACAGTTGCCTACACATATTGTCTCTACTTCCCTTTCGCGGCAGTCCTTCCGTCCTACCTCAAGAGCGACTACCCTTCATCAAATCGAAGCTACTCTAACACTTTCTATGATAGTCTGTTTGTCCTTTCCTAACGTAACGAAGTGCAGAGTCTGATATTCACACAGCGACAAAATGAAACAAGGTAATAATTCTGACATATTCCGGTCAAATCCAGCTTCTTGAAATTAGGCAAATACCTCAAACCTCAGAAGTTCTAAAAACACAATCAGATGTGGAATTAAACTGAACCCGCAAGGCTAGGCCTGGTGTCCTCGCTAAATTGTTAGCAAATATATCTCCAAAACTTGAAAAATGTCTCAGCTACGTCCTAATTAGAGACTGATTTTCAGTATCTTTGCCTACTGTTTTGATACTGATAACGATTATCCCAATAGTTTCTCCACGTCCCCGATGGTTACTTCCGTCTCGATCGACGATTGACAAGAGCGACGCCATGTTTATTTGTAAACACAGCAAGTTGTACCTACGTGACCTCCATAGGTGACCATAACGGAAACCGTTTTTATCCTGGCGAGACACGTACCCATCATGTGATTATAATGCATGTACACGTCACATCGTATCTGTGATGATTGATTCTTCCGCTGATAATAATTCGTTTTTTTACGAAGTTGAGGAGTGAAAACAAAAATCATGCAAGGGGTATCATTAAGGTGAATATAAATTATCGTTAAGACATCAAAATTACCCGGCATCAAAATTCGCAGCATAGAAGGGTTCAAATGATCTCATTTCAAAATCAATGTAAACAATTTCTGTTTCGACAGTGTAAGGTGCAGGCATTGGATTTCGTAAAGGTTCGCGATCATAAGTGCTATTTTCCTGAATGTTAAGCATGGTATATTTAAGAAATTCACAACGAGTGGGAGTTGGTGATCGTACAATAAAACACAACAGGGAAAATAAACCATGAGGGGCGCGCCGATCAGGAGTCGTTTATTTCTTATGAGATATCAACATGTTGCACAGCCTCTTCAACGTTTCGCACAGCCTCTTTAAGGATGTTAATAAAATGTGCTAGCTTTCAATACATTGACCCGTGTTTAATTTAATGGTGATGATTCTCCCAACACCGATTGTCAACACCGATGACAAAGTAAAACCTAAACGCCAGGGTGAAGGATAGTTGACCTAGTCCTACCCTATCACTAGTCTTATCCCTTGTAAGATAATTTTTATTCCACAGATGCTACTTTTCACATTTGTTATGACTGAGTGTGTTGTAACGGTGCTATGTCCAGCGAATTGTGGCGCCTTAGAACAACTTGACCACCCGAGCTTCCTTTCATATTTGTAGCATATCTTCAAAATGCTGGAAATGTAATAGCGGGAATGTAATTACCTATAATAGTCGTTGGAGAGGTCGTCACTGCAGGTGCAGGTGCAGGTGCTATTGTCGTGGTGCTTGCAGGTTTCAACGTACCCTTTGTGCAAGCTACGTTCAAAGACCCAGCTAAATAACGTGAGAAAATATACATGTTAGAAATTCATTGGACGTGCAAAGGAACACTAATGATTTAACTTAAATACCTCACGTTTTAGATTACAATCGGTTCTGTAAGTGAATTTATAACTCCATCTGGGATATTACCAATTGTAAATGAAAGAAAATCGTAGGCATATACATTTCTGAGTTCAAAACATTAACTGAAGCCAAAGAAAGTATTGATTGATATGTTTCAAAGGTATGCGTGTGGACAAGCAATCGTGACAAGGTCTACAATCATAAGGGTGTTACAGGGGCTGCTCAGGATCACTGTATGACGCTTCATACTGACAACAGCTGTAGTCCTACGATTACGCAGAGTGTCTGACCAGAGAGTACGGAACCGCATTTGAGAGGCAGGTCTCAGAACAAGACAGCCTTCCGAGGATATGTTTTAAGTATCATCATCCCATGTGGACGCCTGTGGTGCCAAGCAGGCAGAATGTGGTCAAACTAGCAAGGAAGAATGGTTTGGTTCAGCGATGAATCGAGATTTATGATTTCATGAGCTAACGGAGAACCAGATGGTACCGACATGGCTAGGAACGTCTTGCTGTTGATACATGCGAACGTATGGAGGAACGTGAGATAAATTATTTCCTTTCAGTTTTATTAGATCAATGAAGTTAAGAGATGGAGCTATTAACCATGATGCCTATTTGTAATGGTTTAGCTTCTTTGACCCTCTTCCAATGTATCTTTCAACCTGAAAATGACCCTTAAATTTAAAAAAAAATTCTGCATTTGATTCTCAAATACTAAACATGTGGTTGTGAAAACACAGTTATTGCATATAGACCTTACATCAAATTAATAAATTAAGTTTTAATTCGAATCCATTTCACATGAATACAATGTGTCGCGGGACGTATAATTAAAGCATTGTACATTGGAAATAACCTTGTTTCCCTAGCTTTATTCTAAAGATTACAACATATTTAAAGTTAACGCCAGAATAACCAGTCTCGATTAACTGCCGAAACAGATTCCATAGGACGTAAGAGGCAAAGATAGCAGTGAAAATTACATGAAAGGATCACTGATAATGAGACTATATTATTTTTTAGTTCATGGCCAACACCTGGTTACATTTATAAATTAAACCTAGCCCGACACAATCAGTCTTTTTTCATCTTGAACGTTGACGTGATACCTGCTAGGTGTAAACTTACGATATTTTATAACCGCATCCAAATGCATCCATGGTTCAGTTACATTATGCAAACTCACCTGTTGATGTCTGTACTAAATGGACACAGAAATCGGCTACGTCAGAGCTTTTGGTGAGAGAAAGGAAGACCGACTGTCCTGACTCAATCCTTCCTGTAGTAGTTGCGGGTGTCTTGTCTGCACAGTTATAGGTGTGATCAATAGGCGGAGCGAAATACAGGGTAGCGTCACAGGCAGCATGAACCCCCTGAACTGATACCTGGAGATCAACAGCGCCTCCCTGTGCCCTGAGTTGACATGTACAGCCGCCTTCATAGTTGACAGCCTTAAAGGTGTCCAGATAGACGGATGTTCCAGTGGCAAAGTTGCCCTCACATACGTGTACAACTGAAGTACAATATACACTTGTTGGTTGAATAATAATAATAATAATAATAATAATAATAATAATGATAATAATAATAATAATAATAATTCCGGTGAAAAAGATAAAAATTAAGCTGCTATTATTATTATTATTATTATTATTATTAGCTTTTTAACCGGCTTTACCGACACTTTTTATTGTATATTGATTTCAGTATTCTACCTATTTCATATCATGTATCTAATTTTTCATCTATATGATTCAAGGTAAGCATAAATATACAGGAAGAACCAGCGTTTGTTTTGTGTATTTGTTGTTTATAATTAGTGCCACACTCAGTAATATTCCAGCTATATATATGACGGCTGTCAGTCAGCGAGTCTGACCACCCGGTCCCAATAGTCGCCTCGTAAGACAAGCATGGGTTGCTGAAGACCAATGCTAAACACGGATCTTCACAAGTAGGGTGCCACTGGCACTGGTGTTGATATATGTATTGTTGATGTATTACATATAGTGACGAAACAATATATGATGTCATCAATAACTATACTCATTTACGTCATGTTTGGTTCAGTCAACATCACTGATTCTATTTCGTCCCTACAGCCTTTCTAACAGTGCACAATGTGAAATTGTTTTGACGTCACATTGATTTTTCGAAACGTATATGTAAGAGGAGATGCTATCAACTGTATGGATTACGTAAATGACATTTAACCTGACTTTAAGTCAATGATAAGCATACATACCCTTTTCTCCAGATGTCGTTGGACATATGTTCTCTGCAAACAGCGCAAAATAGCAGATTATGCAATGTCTACGTTCATCACTCCGTATCCATATCTCCTTTACTTTACGATTATATGCGTGAATAAATACGTTTAAACATTGTATGTGGTAAGAGGGATATTGTATGTACAACTGTACGTGTTTTGTTGTGTTAATCAGGGATAAAGGCCGAATCCGCTAGAAGGATTCCCGCCTATATGTATAAAAACATTTGTTTTAGAAATGGATGTATAGACATTACTAAATGTAAATGTTCAAATGGAAACAGAATGGTTGGCATGGTTCTTGGCGTGAATATTAAACCTACACCTTTAGCCATATATCGGGCATTAAGTCACAGAGTTTCCCGACCGCCTCCGTTTTTTAGTGGTAGAGCGTCCGTCCGGAGAGCGGAAGGTTCGATCCCCGGTCGCGTCATACCGAAATACGTTAAAACCTCGTACTTGTTGTTACCCTGCCTGACGCTAGACGTTAAGGGGCTAAAACGAGGACTGGTCGGCTCGGAGTCAGTATACTGTGTCTGAGTGGGGTTTTCATGTTAAACTAAGGCATGGCATATCAGTGGGCTAGCTCTATAAATTAGCATCAGTCCACAAACACACACACGTGTATGCACGTCGCTATATATGTGCAATCCCATATCACCTCACCTCATCTCACCCGAGTTTATTATTAAGTTATGAATAATGATGTTTAGCTTTCATAAATAATTATTTAAACCACATATGGAAAACGGTTTATCTGGAAAACATCTCTTTAGCCTTTGTCATAAGAAAAATGTTGACATGTTGAGAAATAGGAAATAATTGCCTTCTGGTGAGTTGCACAGCCATACCTAATATAGGACATTTACCATCCCAAATTACACAAGCGTGATAACCTCTTTTTCATCTATTGTCATTCTTAAATGTTGTCGTCGAAAACCTGTATTGCTCTCTCACAAACATTACCTAAACATTGCAAGTGCGCATCAACATATATTACGTGAGAAGGTCAGTAATTCGTCAGTCGTACATTAGGGACGGTCAATTTAGTTCCCATTGAAACCTGTTTCTCAGACGCTGACGTAACTACATATAGGCAAAATAACAGTTGCCTACACATATTGTCTCTACTTCCCTTTCGCGGCAGTCCTTCCGTCCTACCTCAAGAGCAACTACCCTTCATCAAAGGGAAGCTACTCTAACACTTTCTATGATAGTCTGTTTGTCCTTTCCTAACGTAACGAAGTGCAGAGTCTGATATTCACACAGCGACAAAATGAAACAAGGTAATAATTCTGACATATTCCGGTCAAATCCAGCTTCTTGAAATTAGGCAAATACCTCAAACCTCAGAGGTTCTACAAACACAACCCGATGTGGAATTAAACTGAACCCGCAAGGCTAGGCCTGATGTCCTCGCTAAATTGTTAGCAAATATATCTCCAAAACTTGAAAAATGTCTCAGCTACGTCCTAATTAGAGACTGATTTTCAGTATCTTTGCCTACTGTTTTGATACTGATAACGATTATCCCAATAGTTTCTCCACGTCCCCGATGGTTACTTCCGTCTCGATCGACGATTGACAAGAGCGACGCCATGTTTATTTGTAAACACAGCACGTTGTACCTACGTGACCTCCATATGTGACCATAACGGAAACCGTTTTTATCCTGGCGAGACACGTACCCATCATGTGATTATAATACATGTACACGTCACATCGTATCTGTGATGATTGATTCTTCCGCTGATAATAATTCGTTTTTTCGAAGTTGCGGAGTAAAAACAAAAATAATGCAAGGGGTATCATTAAGGTGAATATAAATTATCGTTAAGACATCAAAATTACCCGGCATCAAAATTCGCAGCATAGAAGGGTTCAAATGATCTCATTTCAAAATCAATGTAAACAATTTCTGTTTCGACAGTGTAAGGTGCAGGCATTGGATTTCGTAAAGGTTCGCGATCATAAGTGCTATTTTCCTGAATGTTAAGCATGGTATATTTAAGAAATTCACAACGAGTGGGAGTTGGTGATCGTACAATAAAACACAACAGGGAAAATAAACCATGAGGGGCGCGCCGATCAGGAGTCGTTTATTTCTTATGAGATATCAACATGTTGCACAGCCTCTTCAACATTTCGCACAGCCTCTTTAAGGATGTTAATAAAATGTGCTAGCTTTCAATACATTGACCCGTGTTTAATTTAATGGTGATGATTCTCCCAACACCGATTGTCAACACCGATGACAAAGTTAAACCTAAACGCCAGGGTGAAGGATAGTTGACCTAGTCCTACCCTATCACTAGTCTTATCACTTTTAAGATAATGTTTATTCCACAGATGCTACTTTTCACATTTGTTATGACTGAGTGTGTTGTAACGGTGCTATGTCCAGCGAATTGTGGCGCCTTAGAACAACTTGACCACCCGAGCTTCCTTTCATATTTGTAGCATATCTTCAAAATGCTGGAAATGTAATAGCGGGAATGTAATTACCTATAATAGTCGTTGGAGAGGTCGTCACTGCAGGTGCAGGTGCTATTGTCGTGGTGCTTGCAGGTTTCAACGTACCCTTTGTGCAAGCTACGTTCAAAGACCCAGCTAAATAACGTGAGAAAATATACATGTTAGAAATTCATTGGACGTGCAAAGGAACACTAATGATTTAACTTAAATACCTCACGTTTTAGATTACAATCGGTTCTGTAAGTGAATTTATAACTCCATCTGGGATATTACCATCTGTAAATGACCCTCTTCCAATGTATCTTTCAACCTGAAAATGACCCTTAAGTTTAAAAAAATAATAATTCTGCATTTGATTCTCAAATACTAAACATGTGGTTGTGAAAACACAGTTATTGCATATATACCTTACATCAAATTAATAAATTAAGTTTAATTCGATAATAATTAAAACATTGTACATTGGAAATAACCTTGTTTTGCTAGCTTTATTCTAAAGATTACAACATATTTAAAGTTAACGCCAGAATAACCAGTCACGATTAACTGCCTCAACAGATTCCATAGGACGTAAGAGGCAAAGATAGCAGTGAAAATTACATGAAAGGATCACTGATAATGAGTCTATATTAATTTTTAGTTCATGGCCAAAACCTGGTCACATTTATAAATAAAACCTAGCCCGACACAATCAGTCTTTTTTCATCTTGAACGTTGACGTAATACCTGCTAGGTGTAAACTTACGATATTTTATAACTGCATCCAAATGCATCCATGGTTCATTTACATTATGCAAACTCACCTGTTGATGTCTGTACTAAATGGACACAGAAATCGGCTACGTCAGAGCTTTTGGTGAGAGAAAGGAAGACCGACTGTCCTGACTCAATCCTTCCTGTTGTAGTTGTGGGTGTCTTGTCTGCACAGTTATAGGTGTGATCAATAGGCGGAGCGAAATACAGGGTAGCGTCACAGGCAGCATGAACCCCCTGAACTGATACCTGGAGATCAACAGCGCCTCCCTGTGCCCTGAGTTGACATGTACAGCCGCCTTCATAGTTGACAGCCTTAAAGGTGTCCAGATAGACGGATGTTCCAGTGGCAAAATTGCCCTCACATACGTGTACAACTGAAGCACAATATAACTTGTTGGTTGAATAATAATAATAATAATAATAATAATAATAATAATGATAATAATAATAATAATAATAATGATAATAATAATTCCGGTGAAAAAGCCAAAAATTAAGCTGCTATTATTATTATTATTATTATTATTAGCTTTTTTACCGACACATTTTATTGTATATTGATTTCAGTATTCTACCTATTTCATATTAGAGCACATGTATCTAATTTATCATATATATGATTCAAGGTAAGCATAGATATACAGGAAGTACCAGGTATTATACCAAGTATTTGTTGTTTATAATTAGTGCCACACTCAGTAATATTCCAGCTATATATATGACGACTGTCAGTCAGCGAGTCTGACCACCAGTTCCCATTAGTCGCCTCGTATGACAAGCATGGGTTGCTGAAGACCAATGCTAAACACGGATCTTCACAAGTAGGGTACCACTGGCACTGGTGTTGATACATGTATTGTTGAAGTATTACATATAGTGACGATACAATATATGATGTCATCAATAACTATACTCATTTACGTCATGTTTGGTTCAGTCAACATCACTGATTCTATTTCGTCCCTACAGCCTTTCTAACAGTGCACAATGTGAAATTGTTTTGACGTCATATTGATTTTCCGAAACGTATATGTAAGAGGAGACCATCCGATACAGACACCAGGCTATGTTCTGTATTTATCAACTGTATGGATCACGTAAATGACATTTAACCTGACTTTAAGTCAATGACAAGCATACATACCCTTTTCTCCAGATGTCGTTGGACATATGTTCTCTGCAATTAACACAAAATACCAGATTATGAAATGTCTACGTACATCACTCCGTATCCATACCTCCTTTAATCTACGATATTCTAATAAGAACCCCCTATTTCTAATTTTGAGAGCACCATGGGCGCTTATTACGTCGAATACGGTATATGCGTGAATAAATACGTTCAAACATTATATGTGGTAAGGGGGATATTGTATATACAACTGTACGTGTTTTGTTGTGTTAATCAGGGTTAAAAGCCGAATCCGTTAGAAGTATGTCCGCCGACTGTGTTAGAAATTGATGTAATTTATTACAGAGTATAGACATAACTAAATGTTCAAATGGAAACAGAATGGTTGGCATGCTTCTTGACGTGAACATTAAACCCACACCTTTAGCCATATATCGGGCATTCAGTCACAGAGTTTCCCGACCGCCTCCGTTTTTAGTGGTAGAGCGTCCGCCCGGAGAGCGGAAGGTCCGGGGTTCGATCCCCGGCCGCGTCATACCGAAATACGTTAAAGCCTCGTACTTGTTACCCTGCCTGACGCTCGGCATTAAAGGGCTAAAACGAGGACTGGTCGGCACGGAGTCATTATACTGTGTCTAAACTAAGGCATGGCATATCAGTGGGCTAGCACTATAAATTGGCATCAGTCCACAAACACACACACACATGTATGCACGTCTCTATATAAGTGCAATCACATTTCACCTCATCTCACCCGAGTTTATTATTCAATGTATGAATAATGATGTTCAGCCTTTTCAACAATTATCTAAACCACATATGGAAAACGGTTTATCTGGAAAACATCTCTTTCGCCTTTGTCATAAGAAAAATGTTGTCATGTTGAGAAATAGGAAATAATTGTCTTCTGGTATGATACACAGCCATACCTAATATAGGACATTTACCATCCCAAATTACACTTGCGTGATAACCTCTTTTTCATGTATTGTCATTTTTTAATTCTGTCGTCGAAAACCTGTACTCCTCTCTCACAAACATGACCTAAGCATGGCAAGTTTTCTTTGGATATGCGCATTAATGTATATTACGTGAGAAGGTCAGTGATTTGTCAGTCGGACAGTGAGAACAGTCAATTAAGTTCCAACCGAAACCTGTTTCTCAGACACTGACGTAACTACATAATATAGGAAAAATAACAGTTTCCTACACATATTATTTCTACTTCCCTTTCGAGGCAGTCCTTCCGTCCTACCTCAAGAGCAACTACCCTTCATCAAAGGGAAGCTACTCTAACATTCCTGTGCAGAGTCTGATATTCACACAGCGACAAAATGAAACAAGGTAACAATTCTGACATATTTCGGCCAAATTGGGGCAAATACCTCAAGCCTCAGAGGTCCTACAAACACAATCCGATGTTGAATTAAACTGACCCCGCAAGGCTAGGCCTGATGTCCTCGCTAAATTGTTAGCAAATATATCTCCAAAACCTGACACTGATTTTCAGTATCTTTGCCTACTGTTTTGATACTGATAACGATTATCCCAATAGTTTCTCAATGTCCCCTTCCGTCTCGATCGCCCATTGACAAGAGTGACGCCATGTTTGTTTGTAAACACTGCAAGCTGTACCTACGTGACCTCCATATGTGACCATAACGGAAACCGTTTTTTATCCTGCCGAGACACCTTCCCATCATGTGATGATAATACATGTACACATCACATCGTATCTGTGATGATTAATTCTTCCGCTGATAATAATTCGCTTTTTTACGAAGATGCAGAGTAAAAACAAGACTCATGCAAGGGGTATCATTCAGGTGAATGTGAATTATCGACGTTAAGATATCGAAATTACCCGGCATCAAAATTTGAAGCATAGAAGGGTTCAAATGATCTCATTTCAAAATCAATGTAAACAATTATTGTTTCGACATTGTTATGTGCAGGCATAGGATTTCGTAAAGGTTCGCGATCATTAGTGCTATTTTCCTGAATGTATATTTAAGAAATAAACGACGAGTGGGAGTTGGTGATCGTACAATAAAACACAACAGGGAAAATAAACCATGAGGGGCGCACCCCGAGAGGTTTATTCTCCCTGCAGTGTTTATTGTCCGACACATAACGATCAGGAGTCGTCTATTTCTTATGAGATATCAACATGTTGCCTGCCTCTTCAACATTTTGCACAGCCTCTTTAAGGATGTTGATAAAATGTGCAAGCTTTCATTACATTGACCCGTGTTTACTTTAAATGGTGATGATTCGGCAATGTCGGACAAGTCCATTTTATGTAGGGGTGGGGACTAAATTGTGTATTCTCATATGTTTTACGTCAATTATCTTCAGCTTTTCTCTCAATACCGATTGTCATACCCCCCCCCCCCCCCCCCCCCCCCCATGACGTCATGATAGAACATGTTTTTTGTTTCAAGATATCGTGTTGTTACAAGGAAACACTATTCGGTTCACATTTGACTAAACACAAAGGAGCGATCTAACTGCTATGTCACATTTTTATGATCAAGATTTCTACTTGATATTGTGAACATAACACCATAAGTAACCACATTACACCGTGAGTGAACACAATCAACAATATCTTACCTTGTGTGAAATATGAACATGGCAAAATTAACGCGATAACTATCCTGATACTGGTGACGATCCTCATCCCCATCTTTGAGAAGAAAACTTAATATATTCCCTTCCGGAAGTCTCCTAAGTGACCATTATCCACCAGTTACAGTATACGCCTAGTGCATTTAAGAGTCATTCGCGTGACATCACAATACGTCAATTTTCTTTATTGTCACACTTAGATCAATGACCTACAGTCGAAATGGGCGGACCCGTCAATTCTACGCTGGCCATAAAAATGACTTACAATTACTCGATATTGACTTCATCTCGTCTCTTGTAAACGTCATTGACTTTTCATCACAATAAGCCACACAATGTCATCATTATGCAAGTTCTTCCTAACAGCAAAGCTATTTTTGATTGAATGAAATCTTTTCTTCTCGAAGCTATTGTTTAGTTTTATGCGCAATATGGTAGGCGTTATGGCATTATGTTTAACACATAGCAGCCAATCACCTATTCAGATATCAATTATTGTAATAATGTGAGCATCGGGGTGCGGTTAGACCAACAGCACACGCCCCTTCATAGCCAGCCCTTCATTTGTTACCTGATAGACCATGCGCTTGTACAACGGTCATTTCACATTATGATTACATGTACATATAGAATACAGATTTGTGTGTGGGTGGCAATACTAGGTGTGGTGTAACAATACTAGGGAGATCAACACTTTGAATCTTCAAAGACGAATTGTACATTTTCCCGGCACTATGGCAGTCACATGGTGAAGGCAATGTTCTATGAATATGAAGGAGACCCTGACATAGTCGTATTTGGGTCGCATTGTTTTCTCAACAATAGGGGTAAATGTGAGCAAGTTGACTTATTTAAACTACAGGGCATATGACCATGGGTACATAGGTGAGCAAGTATCATACACCAATGATTCACCCTGATTATGTTGCTCTGTTCGGTACTACACCTGTGCTCGTGAGTTTAAAAAAATTGAAAACGTCCAAGACCTACATTTTGGGAGAATTACTTTCCCATAAAATTGTACGCTGTGATCAAACAATTATATGCATTAGGCGGCGGAAAACTCACCTTTGTTTAACCGCAAATATCTCACGGAATATTGAACAAGGAATGATGATCTTTTTGATACCATGAATGGGTGGTATATTAACTATTGATGAAACCTAAATATGTCGATAATGTGTTGAGACTGGATCAAGATGTCATTTCCGGGTCTCCTTTTAAAATCGCCCGATCAATTTATCATTGTCTCATCCATACCTTACTTCTTGTAATATATGTTCGTTGACGGCGTTGAGTTGAATGCAGCTGTTACACGCTTAGGAATTAGAATATGCCTGCTCCTTTGCTAATCGTTACCAACCTGTCGTCCCATACACTTCACACTCAAGACGTCCTCTATCTTCACCCACAACGTGTCTCCTATATTTACCCAGAAGGCGTCCCCTATCTTCACCCAGAAGGCGTCCCGTAATTTTGCACACAAGACGTTTCCTATCCTCCCCCAGAAGGCGCCCCGTATCTTTACACACAACGCGTTCCCTAGCCTGTTTTCGCTATAAAGGTGTCCCCTATCTTCACCCTCAAGGCTTCCCCTATTTCCACCTACAACGCGCCCCTATCTTCGCCCACAAGGCGTCCCCATCTTCACCCACAAAGCGTCTCCTATTTGTACCCACAAGACGCCCCCTATCTTCACTCTTAAAGGCGTCCCGTATCTTCACCCTAAAGGCGTCCTCTGTCTTCACCTACAAGGCGCCCGCTATTTTCATTCTTCAAGGCGTCCCTTATCGTTTCCCAAAAGGCATCCCCTACCTTTCCCCCACCCGGCATCCGCTCTCTTCACCCCCAAAGCGTTCCCTATCGTTATCCAGAAGGCGTCCCCTAGTTTCACCATATAGGCATCCGCTATCTTCACACACAGGGCGTTCCATATCATCACCCCAATGCGTCCCCTATCATTACCCAGAAGGCGTCCCCTAGCTTCGTTCACAAGGCAATCGCTATCTTCACCCACAAAGTGGTCCATATCTTCACCCACAAAGTGGTCCATATCATCACCCATGAGGCATTCGCTATATTCACCCATAAAGGGTCCCCTATCTTCACCCAAAAGGCGTCCCATTACATCATCCACAAGGCGTCCCCCATGGTTACCCAGAAGGCGTCCCCTAGCTTCACCCTGTAGGCATCCGCTATATTCAGCCACAAGGCGTCCCCTATCGTGTCCTAAAAGGCGTCCCCCCACCTTCACCCACAAGGCGTCCCCTATCGTTACCCAAAAGGCGTCCCCAAGCTTCACCAACAAGGTATGTGCTATCGTTACTCACAAGGCGTCCCATTACATCATCCACAAGGCGTCCCATTACATCATCCACAAGGCGTCCCCTATGATTACCCAGAAGGCGTCCCCTAGCTTCACCCTATAGGCGTCCGCCATCTTCAGCCACAAGGCGTCCCCTATCGTGTCCTTAAAGACGTCCCCTTGGTGTTATTTTTCCCAAACGCTGTTGAGATTACCTTTCTTACTCAACTCAATGTCTCTGTTTAAAGTTTACGAGCAAGTCTAAAAAAAATTAACACACAGTACATGTATCTCATATACATTTAAACTTACGCTTCTTGGTATGGGTCCCGTAATTGGCGAGCAAATTAAACCACATTAAGAACTAGTTGAAAACATAACTTATTATTACTCATTATTACAGACCATCATATTCAATTTCGTATTGTACTATACCTGGACGTTGATTCTTTAATGTGTAACCCTGTGTCGTAGGTTTGGATAACACGCACTATCTACATACTTTGGGTAACACCTCCCAACATAAGTCATTTATTTACCCAAACCTGGTGATATGCATGTTCAATGCCAGAGTAAACCCACAATTGGTGCCGCAATGATGTCACATTTGTGTAACGCTGAAATATTCAGATCAATGTTTGGAGACGATGACCGTGCAAGGCTGGGTTATTGGGTTGTTGGGAATAAGACAGTGACCTGATTTGCTACAAATAGCGACAATGCCACAAAACGACCTAATGCATTCGCGAGTGATGCGAGAACATACTATATACAAACCATTGAAGTATTGACGATGGACGAAGGATTACATGCACCTCTGGACTGTCCTTGGTCGTATAAATGATCAGTGACTACACGGATCCTACACGATTGCTCTTCCTGGACGACCTACTCGTAGATTAGCTGAGGGATCCTTTCATTGTAATGAGTATTTCGCCCTGAGAGCGGAAAGTCCGGGGTAAGAACCCCGGCCGCGTCCGACCAAAAGTCGTTAAAAGAAGGTACTTGTTGTTACCCTGCCTGGCGCTCGGCATTAAGGAGCTATTATAAGGACTGGTCGACTTGGAGTAGACTGCGTCTAAGTTGGGCATTCGTGTTAAACTACGGTTTGGCACCTTCAGTGGGCTAGCACTATGTAATCGGCATTAGTCCGGACTAGTACAAGCAGTACAAACACACACACACACACATACACACACACACACAAACACACACACACGCACGCACGCACACACACACACACATACACATACGTACATGCACGTCACTATATGAGTGCAAGAATCCTGGACGCGACGTTAAACCTAATTTCACTTCACTTTACTTCATCGAAATGATCATGTGACAATTTCTGATTTATGAACCATTAATTGTATTAGCTTTTTCACTCTGTCTGAACAAAGTACGACAAATTAAACACAAATATGTAACCAGCCCTTAATGTCTTACGTTGCACTGTTCTTAGGAATGACTCACCGAAGCATGAATAAATGTACGGGAATTACTGTAACAAGAACCTTCAAACCGGATCCATCCATTTGGCATCCTATTCCTGAAACAGTCACACATAATTCGCTGATCTCATGTAGCCTGTGAGTCATATCCCGTACGGCGACTGTTGCCTGGTATGGTTGCTCATCTATCGTGCACATTGTCAAAATGATTATTGTTATTTTTTTACATAAAATTTGTATTAATAATGCAAGATACAGGATACGCACAGGAGTCACGATTAACTTGTTTTTAGAACGATCTGGTGCATTCAAGAATGCTTCTGATCATAAACCAGACCCCTAAGCGATGAAGTGGATAGAGCTTATGTCCGGAAAGCAAATGGTCGGTGGTTCGATGGCCGTGTCACACCAAAAGACGTTAAAAGTTTATATTTCGTTTTAGCATGCTTGGTGATCGGCACTAAGAAGATAAAAGAAGAACATGTTTGATCGGAGTCAATATAATATGTCTGAATGGGATAGTCATATTAAACTGCGGTACAAGTCCGTCCTATTACAAACAACCCTACACCCGTGAATGCACGTTGCTGTATAAGTGAAATAACCTTTAAAACGCGGAGTAAAATCCTATAACACCTTAATATCATCTCATAGTACCGCGTTACTGATCCTAACGCAGTGATATTATATTGTTTGTAAGTCCTCTTGACAATTGTCCTTTTGTATAGTAAGTAAGTCCTCTTGACAATATAATATATAGCGCCGGCAATAGTTTCGACTTGAGGATGATGTTCCTGTAATAATTCTACATCTATGTTTTGGCTTTCATTTTGCCTGTAATATATACGTTAGATATAAAAAAAACTAACCTGTTCATTCCGTTGTTAGACTAGATATACGTTTCTACACTTATTATTACATTTACAAATTATATCTGTATTTTCACTGGCTGAGAAAGGGACACATAAGCTTCCTTAAAAGACAGTATTGACAATGCCCTGCATTGCCCAGCGTGACTAAGCCAATAAACTCAAAGGAAAGAAATGTTTTCAGCCAATCAGAGAGAGCGTAAAGCAATGCTTGTTGTGCAACATATCTGACTTCCCGTGACATCTGATTCAATAGTTGTATGAATTTAAAATATTCTTCTTTTTTTATATTATGTTATAAAACAATTGTTGACCCAGATTCTTGCAATATTATGGTTTATGGACCAAAATAACGGATATTGACCTCGGCCGCTGGCTTCACTGAATATCAGTAACTTGGGTCCATAAAACATAACATTGCCCTCAGGAATGGTCAATAACTGTTAAATAGCTATCTACCAACATGTTGATAGCCGTGAAAGTAGAGAAGAAGGTGTTGCTGTTAGCTATCTAATTCCGTACTGTTAAACTATTGGATTCTATCCTTGATTGGTGAGTGAGTGAATTGGCTTTGAACCCGCTCTGAAGTTTAGTTATACAGTGGCGTGTTAACTTAATTTGGAAAGAAAACCAAATGTGATCCAGGTTGTAGACGTTTGAAACTTTGTAACATCCGTAACCGGGTACAGAGCGGACAAACCAGAAATCACAGTCAAGCAGAGAAGAAAACATGGAGGTGCTGTCGAAAAATGGCTCAAATGTCCTACGATGTCATCCTTCGCCGTTTACAGTCCTTCATTTACGGTTATATTTACATGTGCGTAAAACAAATAACTGAAGAAAAGCGGGGGGATAAATAAATCCTCAAGGAGCACGCGCCCCACAGCAAAGATGCTATCCAGAATAATTCGCCAACGTAATACAGGCGTCATTGTTGACGTAATGTGTAATGACGTAATAGTCGTTTATGACGCCACATTGTAACTTTTGGACGTCAGGGCACTGCAACCACCAAGATGAAAAAGTGAATGTATTGACATCACACAACATCTCCAACACAGAATATCATGAAGTGTCGATAAAATATGATTAATACATAAGTGTTGGTATCATATATATTTTACTGACAATCGCCTTGTGACACAACTATGACGGACAAGGTCATGTGGCTATGTCTATACGTATAGCGATGTATTCATCTATAAGTGTAGTGATTTATTCATCAAGGATACATTTTCCTCAACCACTTACCTGTAACTTTTGTGGCGACTGGAATTTATGAAATTACTACAAGAGTATACTTTGTCAACATGTTCTGCCCGGTGTGGTTAAAATGTAGGCCTATGTTTGCTATCAGGTGACCTGTATTCAATCGGTCGTGGGTTTCTTATCGTCTTTTTTGTATGTACATTACGCGAGGATACAGAAAAAGACTATTTTATATACAAACTTGATGTTTATTGTTTCTATTCAATTCCAAAATCACCATGCCTGTGAGATGATGACCTCCCTAAAGAATTGTTGAACCAATTATGTAGGCTTGCTCATTAAGTAATAGATATGTTTCGGTGCCGTAGTTAACAACTGACAGCAAGCATCCACGGTTAATTGCAAGGTTAGGGGTCCGAAACCTATAGATATGTGCCTGATAACACTATTCACGATATGTCCGCCAATAGAGTGAACGAGCATGGTTTTACGCCGCTTTCAGCAATAGTACGCCAACAGAGGAAACGCTACTTATTGCACATTATTTTAGCAACTTTGTGAAGTGGAATTGTTTTGTCACACTCTGATGACAACACTGATGACAAACGTTGACAGAAGAAGACAACGACGAATTGTCACATCACCACTTGAGACACTGTATCACTTCTTTCAATCAAACAGGAAACACATTGCCATATTGCATACGGAGGAATCTATAGTTATTTCTTTTTTGGTTAGAGTTTGAATGTTTTAAACAGTAAAGAACAAGGGTACACTTTGATCATACAAGGACTCTGAAGGTTTCCATGTCACCGTTGCTTCTTATTCAGCGGATCTCTGTCACTCGGTGTGGTTCCGAATAAAGTGTTCATATAAACGAGGTAAAACGAAACGTTGTAATGACATATAATATATGCATTCAGAAACATGTCATATGCATCCTGAACATTGCGTCCGGATAAACGGGATTCATTGTGTATCGGAGGATCGTCATTGATGTGTATGTTGCATAGCAACATCATAATGGTTGTGGTTGACCTTTGTCTTCTGAGGCTTGAGACTCAGATGATTGTAGATGAGTCTTCCTTCTCTGTGGCTATCGGCTTCCGACAGCTGACTAACTTGTTGCATAGCAGATATCGCAGTGTCATAATGTTCCCCCACACCGCGGGCCACGACCCCTAAGTGATCATATCCTTCCATAACTGGTTTTGGGTCCTGTCCTCTTCCTTGTATCTCCTCCACTGTGGCATATTCATAACTGCCTGTCCGCTCCGTGAATGACCGAGCGTCTATCACCTCATGGTAGAGTGGTGCAAGGGCACTGTCCAACCTTCTTCTACTTTGCTGTGGTGACTGTTTCCTTTGTCTGAAAAACATAGTTAATGAGTTAGTGAGTGTTGTTTAAAGCCGCATTAAGGATTGTTCCAGTGTTTGCTGCATGTAGCTTAATATTCTCCCAAAGATATGTAAATGGAGATCTTTTAATAGAGATATCTCAATTCATCTAAGTGATCAATGTTTTATCGTAATTACAGACTCTACTACAAATAGGTATAGCTGTGGTGTGTAGTGTATGAGAGAGTGCAAGGAATGGTTTTGGGCCGCTTTTAGCAACATCACGTTTGTGGACAAAGGTAAAAGGTCTGTTGTATGTAATGGGTAATTGATAATGAACACTATTAGTGCGGCTTAAAGTTTGAAACCACGTAATGAACGATGACATTACAAAATTTAAAGTACCTTTTCAAATAGCACAGGGTAACACAAATTCCAGCGATGATGACAACTGTGACAGCGAGGCCAACGCCAACTTTAAATCCCGTAGTTGCAAGGTCATCTACACAAAAAACATTATTATGTATCACGATGTTAACGGATTACAATAATAGTGAATATTCACATCCCTGTGTTTGTCCAACTGTTGATAGTAGTTGAGTGCAAACAGTGGCAGTCGACTTAATACATCTGATTAACAATGGAACATGCAATGTCGGTTATACAATTGTTACCGTATTTCGTTCCAGATAGATTTGAATTGTTTTACTGAGAAATACGCTTACATATTACCTTGTATGAGAATGTCATTATCAGCTAACCTCCAACCCTCTACCCTTATCTTGACTTCAGATATACTCATTCAACTTACCTCGAATACAGTCGTACCTAACCACAGACAAAATCAAGTTTTGCATTCGTGGAGCAGGAAACACGCAGTGTGTCTTATCCAAACAAGCAGTTTTGATTTTCTCACGAACTGTGGTGTTGAAGTCACGAAGGTCGTGATCTCCTCTTGTTAATACACAACAGTTTGGGTAAGTCGGGGAGTCACAGGTATTCGCTGCATCCGAGCACTCTAATCGATCAGCCTTTTTAACAAAAACGGTTCTGTTAAAATCAATTCTAACTTTTTCACCGTCTCCACATGTGAGATGATGATAGGAGCAATTTTGAGTAGGCTGTGGAGTAAAGCACGACTGGCTAGTCTTCGTAGCTGAAATCAAAATTACAAAAGTGAATGGGTATGCTTTTATGCCGCTATAAACAATGTTTCAGCAACATCACGGGGAGCGCCAGAAAGAGCTTCAAACAGTGTGGCGAAAACTACAACATGTTTCTGCCTGCCCTGAAGACCACTATTTGATACCCCGCCCGTCCAAAACACCACCATATATTTTCCCGCCTGTCCCAAAACGCCGCCATAGCCTACCCTGCCTGCCTTAAACACCGCTGGCCTACCCCACGCTCAGGAGTCTTGGTTTCTTTTCTCCACATGTGTGAACTGAAAGAAGTGCATTCCTGGTGTCCCCTGCTATGATGACGGTGGAATTTTGCTAAAAACTGTTTTTATTTGATATCCGTTCAGACACAGTATACAGTATACTGACTCAGGGCCAACCAGTCTTTATTTTAGCCCTTTAATTCAAAGTACAAGTACCGTCTTTTTACGTATGCTGATATGAGGCGACCAGGGGATCGAACCGGCCTACCACTCTCCAGGTAGATACTTTATCCACTAGGCCGCTGAAGCGGTTGAATACATGTGTATGCTAACAATTGTTACAATGGTAATTGTTATTTACGGGTATGTTCACGATCGAGAAGAACTTGTCATTGGAACATAGGTATCGTAACAGTTGCTTTGATGAAGGTCTGTTAATCTCCACATATATGACAATAATGGTGTGAATTCAACGTACCTTTTACGGAAGCCATGACCATCAATATGGCGCATGTGATGAAGTCTACACGTCCCTGTCGGTCCATCATGACATGCATACAGCTAGTGAAGACAATGGGACAGGATCGCCTCGCATAACGTCATTATATAACAGCAGCACACACAATAGACGGGTCTTCCTTCCTAGACTATTATCAGACACTGTCACACATGATTCATTTAATGATACGAGCATTCGTATCACGGTTAAGTGTTACAATATCCGTGTGTGACTAGGCTCTGAGTAGTATCGTTGAAGTAGTTAAAGTGAATGTACATCATACTAGATGACAGATGGTGTTATGTTGGATTGGAAACTTGAACCTCTACTCCTCCGCTTGCATAAAGAAATAAAAAAATGCTTCGCAAAATGAGAAACAAAATGGTGTTTTGAATGGCGACTTGATGTTGCATTTACTTCATATGCGGTTTGTTTGGCACTAAACACCAACCATTCGCTACAGATGGATCCTCCGAGTACTCTATTAAATGCAATTTGTCTGTCGTACCAAGGTTTAGTCTTGTTTCATGCCCATCAACATGTATATATAATCCATCGTTAGCAACAAGAGTGTATCAGCTGGTGTAGATCATCCACTAGACATCTATTGGAGCGTTCGGCTTCCATCGTCCAGACTCATGTCAGTCGTATTGTGCTAGCCGAATGATATGCCATGACGCAGTAAAAATGGATACCACACGTCGACACAGTATACTGACTCCGAGCCGACCATTTATACACGCATTGTTTGTTTGTTTGCAAGAAAATGTGTGAAGCCCATTTTTGATGTCCCCCGTCCTTATATTGCGGACATGTTGCTGAAAGCGGCGTAAATCCATACTCCTTCATTCATTCTCATATTTTTTTTATCTGAATAGGCTGAGCTTAACGGAATATTTATGTTGGAATTTATCTTCTTATATTATTTTAGTCAATTTCCCTGAAGATATATTCTACTGCTATTATTGACCATGAATTGTGACAGTAAGATTTTTGATAGAGGTTGAATTGTATTCTTCCAGCATCACGTAGAGGGTATTACTCAAATGCCCTACCTCCTTAGCCATTCCCTGTAAAGTGCACGTCAAATCTTATTTATGTGATCTTGAAAACATTATTATGTTCTGAGTTGAATCCGATAGAGCACCTAGGGGATCAATTGGATAGACGTCTACGCCGACGTCAACCACAACCCCAGACGTTGCAGCAGTTGGCTTTTGTGTTGCAGGCCGAATGGGCTACCATTCCCCAGGATGTGATTCCCATACTCGTCTCTTCCATGGGATGGAGATATCCGCTATCGATTCCAACGGGGGGCCTACTCGTTATTGATGGTAGTTGACCTTCACCTTGGACTTTTCCTATGTACCGATAACTGAGATGACTACAATCATCAAGAGTTCTCTCCCCAACCTTTTGGCTGAATACCTTGTACGGTTCCTGGTATACATGTACTTTCCTACCTAACACAAATTTGGCTTTGTTTCTTTTGTTAAAGTGTAAAAAAACTATCATACTGCATCCATGGTTTTGTGGATAGATCACCTACCCTGAGAGCGGAATGTTGTAGGTTCGATCCCCAGACGCTTCATCCAGAAGTGAGTTAAAAATGTTACTTGATGTTACCCTGCCTGGCGCTCGGTGCTAAAACGAGAACTGATCTTCTCGGAGTCAGGATACTGTGTCTGAGTCATGTTACACTGCGGCATATGGTCGCTCAGCTGCCTGCCTGGTATATGTGTATTAAGGTAAGAGTATATTCATAACCATCTATGTCCAAAAGAACACTATAGACTAGTACAAGCAGCAACACACACACACGCTCTCTCTCTCTCTCTCTCTCTCTCTCTCTCTCTCTCTCTCTCTCTCTCTCTCTCTCTCTCTGAACCGGAAGAAATGAACGTCGCTAAATTTGGATCACAACATCACGGCATGCATGTACGTGCGACGTATCTGCAACGTCCACTGAGACGTGGTTTATACAACGGAGTCTGAGTCTAAACAGGTGTGAACGCGTCGCAAGCTTTCGGTGAGTCGCAACCGATTTATGCAACGGACCCTGTCGAAATATAAATGATAGCAATTTTACACCATATTAGTGACGTCTCGCATCTACGGCACGGTTCACACAAAGCTCCCTGAAAACAGAATCCGTGTTGCGACTCCAGCTAGAGCAATGTGAGAGATAAAAATTAATAGTCAATTCCTGGTATATATCTATTAACAAAATATGACAAAACGTAGCATTTTAGTCAAATCGCGATATTTATTTGCGTTTTATTCAGCTGCATTTCGTTACCCTGAAATAGAGATGCGGAAAGAGCATTTAAAATTGTGATATGTTAGCTTATCATTGTTCATGACATTCTTCATACAACAGTTTCAAGCTGCCTGTGCGTTCAATAAAGAATAATGATTACACTCATTTGTATGCAGTATTTGTGTATGTCTTATCCTATACAAGCACATATTTAAGCCAGCATTGTGTGTCCCATAACCCATACGGGGCGGTCGGGTAACCTAGTGGTTAAAGCGTTCGCTCGTCACGTCGAAGACCCGGGTTTGAGTCCCGACATGGGTACAATGTGTGAAGCCCCATTTCTGGTGTCCCCCGCCGTGATATTGCTAAAAGCGGCGTAGAACCATACTCACTCACTCACTCTAAACCCATACCCAGCTTCCTTTACTAGTAATTTGCATCTACGTAATACCATGTGAACTATACCATATCTGAACCCATATCCCTGTCTTCGCGCGCATTATGTATTACCTAAACTCCCAACAACTTACTCTGTCTCACAAAATGGCTCGAGGTCAGGGCGGTCACAGTAGTGATCTGCCCACTGATACCCTTCAACCTTCCAGCTACTCATGCAGTCCTCCTCGACAGTCTTCTGGTTGGGTTCTCCAGGGTACCAATCTGTGTAGTTCAGTGGGTTCTCAGACTTGTCCCATACATAGTAGCCTTCAAACCGAATGTCATTAGCACCTAGCCAGACACCATCGTCAACTGAAACAGAAATTATGCATTAGTGAGTGATATAACAGTTAGGAAATAGACAGTAATGACCGTAACATTAAATTACTATCGACATTGTAAATTCAATTAGCATTGGGTAGTTTTACGCCGTTCGATATTTTCACTTTCTACATAACATAAGGATTTAAAAGATGACATCGACCCGTGAAGATCCGGGGTAGAATAGGTCTTCAGCAACCCACGTTGCCGGGTGGTCAGCCTCGCTGACTTGGTTGATGCTGTCATCGATCCCAATTGCGTTCATCGATGCTCATGATGTCAATCACTGGATCGTCTGGTCCAAACTGGATTATTTACAGACCGCCGTCATATTGCTGGAAAATTGCGGCGTTAAACAACAAACAAAACAAAAGATGACATCATATGATTCAATGACAAGTGAACCGTTCGGTTATCAAGATTAAGGGAAGATTCTTCCCAAGCAAAGTACATGTGTATGTCGAATATTATTATATAAAAAGATACTATAATACGTATAGACTAACCAGTGATTGATACTGTGACCACTGACCCTTGCAGTCGGCGTACACTGACACGCAATCTGAGATCTAACACGGAACGCTCACGTGGTCGCGTACAACGACTGCATTCAAAGGAGTTACTTCTTTGTTTTCACTTACTAATCTTCCCCTTCAGGAATGCCTTCACATAGGCACTTTCCGTTGCTGTTTCAATCTCTGTCAAGTAGCCATGGTGCTGTCGGCAGTATTCCTGGAAGTATAAACTATCATGAAGACACATGGCAAAAGACGAGGTATGGCAAGCCTCATCGCTGCAAGTAGGATAAGTCTTCATTCGGTTGTATATATTGTGAGCATCTTTTATTATACTGTTTTGATTTAATCCGATTTTCAGTCAAGGTGTAGTGCAACACCAAATGAAAAAGTAACAGTACGTGAATTTCGCGATGTCGTCTTTCACATAGATTTAGACTCGGAACAGTCATAGAATGGTTTGTCACAGACTTTCACAGTTAAACCAAAGACATATTCCCATCTGGAATGGTAACGTGATCAACTTGACGTGAAGCAATGGTGAACTTGCAGATGCTTTAATGAAGGTCATCTTCTGATTGCGGTGCATGTAGCAGGATTGCGCATACTGGGTATAGCCGTTGGGACAACCCACACCTGTAACAAGGCACAATAGACATAACGAGTGAGTGAGTGAGGGAGTCAATCTATCAATAAATCAACTAATAGCGTACTCAGTATGAAGGCAAGTGGCCCATATACAGATAACATTTTGCTGGATGTGAGTGGCAATATACACAAATTTATTGCTTAAGAAATACTTTCTTATTTCATATCCATGATAAATAGAATATATATACTGCATTTTAATTGTTCCCTCTCGTTTGTTGAAAATATCTTTGTAAATGTATGCATAGTCTACATTGGGGGTACATGTCGTTTGCAGAAATTTAATTCTAATAGCATCAAAAGTAGCACATACAAGAAAACATTATTCATCCTACCTACCGCTGATCACAGGTTCTCATGCATATATCGTTTTTTTACCACATACCTTCATTATTTCTCAACGGTAATCAACTTTACTAAAATGTCCTAAAGCTTAAATTCACTAAATGCATAAACATCCTTTTTCTAATAAACTTCTATATTCTCTATAAGGATATATCTTTCTCTGTCATCGATAGTAAATATCCATTTTTAGGAAAAGTATTAATAGTTGAATCCTTCAACATAATTATTGAATATATCTTTTTTTTTCAAATGTTTGTGATGCGCTAATTTTGATGGTATTCCTGTAGTGTCACGTTGTGCCAGTTTAACGTGGGAGGTAAAACAAAAATGAGTAGGTCTGTACATTGTATGTCTGTATGATATATATATATGACATCTCATTTATATGATTAATAGTGTAAACTTCCATGCAAATGGCAACGAGTTGATACCACTGTCGCATTGTAAAACAGTTGATATGTCCCCAATCTTTAGCTATCCTGATAGACGCATGTTTTTAATAATATCAATCGTATTACAGTAATTAGTAATATAACTGTAGTATATCATATTTGATAAACACTTGGGTTGATATTCACAGACACTAGATTTAGACACCAGGACAATTATTGTGTTACCTGATACTGCTGGTGTGAGTAACAGCCACGCTCCCAACAATGCCGCGATCACACTTGCACGATGTGTTAACATTGGTATGTCAGGACAAACTAAGAGAATGTGTCTAACCTGAGAGTTACATCTTATCAGCCGGTGACCATGGACCGTTAACCCTCAGTTAACCCCTATGTGCTAAACAAACGGTATTTTAGTTCCAGATGCATGTACTGGCGGGTTATGTATACAGATATCCATGCAGTTAGGGACACTCAAAATACATCTTATATCCAATGTATTGAGTAGCATTGCTATAATTCAATATATTGGCTTGTTCTTGTGAAAATGTACTTGGCGTCATTATTTCAACCGCTATGATGTAGTGCTGCCTAATATAAAACGTGTCTCGGACTATATTTAGACCTGGACACGACTTATCTACTCATATAAGAACGGGACCTGCACTGTAATAAGATGTCGTCAGTTCACAAAACATCGTCCGTTCTGCCATACGTCAATGGACCACCTTCCCTTATATAGGAACCGATTACTGTGACCTGCATGTACGACTGATTGACCCACTGACCTGTCTGGACGGTTTGACTCATTTCCTAGTCACGTTGGCACATCTATAAGAGACTCACTCATATGTCACTCACATGACAAACATTCACCCACTCATCCATTCACTCACGATTTATTGGTTGTTAGCCGCTGTAAACATTTTCCAGCCATTATACGGCGGTGAATACCACATCACACATTGTGTCCAAGCATGGTATCGACCCCGGGCTTTCGTCGAGACTCGTCAATGCTTTATCTACTCGGCTAAATGCCTGACACTAACAAAATTATTGACATGTTATACTGTGACCAGCTTAGAAAACTCTCTGTCTATGAACACATATTGCTGACAACTGATCGTTTAGACTCACACCACGTAGCGTATGTTAGTAAGGTTTATACTAGAACACACTTAAATCGCTGCATATTTGATCAAACCAACTGTCACACACACGGAACGTTGTACAAGGGACGTAACTCTGCCAGCACTAACATCCTCGTTGAGTTCCACATTCGCATTCACATTGTACCTCAAATGATAAGGTTCAAGTTTATAAAGGACATTTCTCAACTCTATTAATGGACACGTGTTCCAATGAACTGTCGTCAACACTACGTGGGTTGACCCGTCATATCGCCTGGGAGGTAACAGATTGTCGGGAACCAGTCACTCCACAATGGCCGCCTTAATCAATACTTTCCTTTTGTTCGTGGTTTTTACCATCCTTCCCGCAGCAGGTACAAGTATAATTAATTAATTATCATACTAAAGCTTACGTATTAGACGTTTTTACATTATAACTTCACATTGTCTTTTTTAGTTTAAAGGCTTAACATACATGAAGTACGAAAACAATGTCTTTTGGAATTTCACATCAATCAGATTCAAAGACATCGATTTTCATATAATACTGTACGAAAGATATCAATATTAATAACCGTTTATATACTATTTGATTAGACTGTGCCTGTGCCTGCCCCGACGGCTGGGTCGTGTACAAGAACTCGTGCTACAACTTCAATTCAACCTGGCAACCATATGACACCGCAAAGGTAGGCATGTGTATTCAAGTGCAGTCAGCGGATGTAGCTTTCCTTGAATAGGACACTTCAACCGTAAAGTACTACCGCTATCATAAATATCTGCTTGACAAATACGGCTTGGGTTTCACGTGACAAGTATAAATGTTAAGTGTAAGCGCAGTGCATGATTTTGGTGTTTATCATGAACGTGAACAAATATGAATATTTTCTTCAGCATGCTAAATATGGGTGAATCAGTTAGTGTGTGTGGCCGTACATGTGTGCGTGTGCGTGTACGTTTGCGTATGCGAGTGCATGTGCGTGTGCGTGTGCGTGTGCGTGTGCGTGTGCGTGTGCGTGTGCGTGTGCTTATGGTTTTTCATCTGATTTTACATTGTTTGCCACATTGGTAAAATACACTATCATGCGCAAGGGGAAACCAAATGTCTTAATGAGGACTCATTGATACAGGGAGGGTAATTAAGGGGTCACTTATGTAAAAATTGAATGGACGGATGCAACATAATTTTAGTTATTTACAACAAAGAAGGAAGCGTTTTATAACAGGCTATCTGCAAGACCTTCAACGCCTACTTAGCCGAGATAGAAGACAGTGAAGAGAACAACTTCATCAATAATTTCATTCTGAATTTTCAAAGTAAGTGGTTTGTAAATATATAAACTTATCTGAAAATAAAACCCGAAACGCATTTTAAATATATCATAATAAAACTAGTATCTACAATATATGTACATCCGTGTTTACATTTGCAAGAAACCTGTCACGTTCTGTAACAAATATAACCAGTGATTCGACATAAACATATATGATGTGGTATCCACAGCCGGGTTCGAGGCGTGGTTCGGAGCGAATGACAAACTCCAGGAGGGAAACTGGGTGTGGGGAGATAGCGGGGTCAAGGTGACCTACGCCAACTGGGGATCGGGACAGCCTGGGTCTGAGAGCGGGAACGAGGACTGTGGGGTACTGCAGAACTACGGGTCGAGGTTCATGTGGTATGACGCCAACTGCATCGATAACGCTGGTTACATATGTGAGAAAACGTAAGTTGATTCGCACTGACACTTCAACTCTACTCAAATTAAATTACATAATGGCCTAAGCTTTGAAGTGTAAGTGAGTATTGTTTTTACAAAGGTCTGGTATTAGATTTACTCAGAAGTGTTTGTTTACTGTCTCAACAATATCAAGTCTAAGACCCAATCTGATTTCCCTAGATAATTGCAATGGAGATAAAAATAGTACAAACATATGGTAAATCGACACGGACTTGCTATTATTAAAGCTCCATACCCTTCTTTTCCTACTCTTTTTACCTCACTATTTGTCCACACACACACACACACACACACACACACACACACACACACACACACACACACACACACACACACACACACACACACACACACACACACACACACACACACACACACACACACACACACACACACACACACACACACACAGAGAGAGATGTATATTAAACCTCGATACTAAATGCGACATATCTAATAATAACTACTAATTCCAGTGGGCCACACAGGCCCCTTTCACCTATATAGTAATGTCCCTTTTATGATATCTACCATTTCGAGAGGGGCCAAACAGACCCCTTTTACTTCATAGTAATGCTCGTTTGATACTATCTACCATTTCGAGAGGGGCCAAACAGACCCCTTTTACTTCATAGTAATGCTCGTTTGATAATATCTACCATTTCGAGAGGGATCAAAGGGAGCAACACAGTGGGCCCCAGGGAAGAATACAGCACAGGGCATAAAATTTGCTGCATTATATAAAGTTCGGAGTCTGTTACTTATATGTTAGAAAAGAGTGTCGTGTCGTTGGTATCGTTCAAACCAGGTGTTTATCTACTCTTTCAAATTCACTGGTTTTACAATTATTTTAATTCCGGCATGACAAGGTTTTCCTTACCCAGGTGTATAAATTGGACTTTTTATCTATTTGTTACAGTGCATCAAGTGGCAGTCTGGTTGGATAAGCCTCATTGCACCTTTCATTGTTCTGAATGTAATGCTGGAACTTGGTTCATTGAATAAATACAACATATGGTACGTGTAGTTTGTATGTATGTATGTATGTACGTGTGTGTGTGTGCGTGCGTGCGTGCGTGCGTGCGTATGTATGTATGTATGTATGTATGTATGTATGTATGTATGTATGTATGTATGTATGTATGTATGTATGTATGTATGTATGTATGTATGTATGTACAGACCAGACATGTATGTGCTGGACCAGACAAACTACAGTAAACTACGGTTATAACGAACTCAAAGGGACTACTAATTTTAGTTCGTTATAACGCACGCACGCACGCACGCTGGCACGTGCGCGCGTGCGTGCGTGCGTGCATATGTATGTATGTATGTATGTATGTATGTATGTATGTATGTATGTATGTATGTATGTATGTATGTATGTATGTATGTATGTATGTATGTGTGCTTATGTTATGTGTAAATGTGTGTAGGGCGGTAATACAGCGTCAGCACGGCTACCTAATAGTATAAAAAGTAGTAGCTGGACCAGACAAACTACAGTAAACTACGATTACAACGAACTCAAAGGGACTACTAATTTTAGTTCGTTATAACCGTAGTTCGTTATAAATACATATACAGCATGACTACGGCAAGTAGTCGGGACCAAAAAGTAAGTTCGTTATATCCGTCAGTTCGTTATAAGCGTGTTCGTTATAACCGTAGTTTACTGTAGTTGTGTGAAGTATTAGGGTGATGGCGACACACAATGCGACAGAACGGCTAATTAGATAGGTTAGTAATTACACAGTATAGCTCATCAAAGAACTGTTATTCATCACCAGTAGGGAAGTAACAACTGATCGAACTATCGATGCATGACAATTTTAATACGTCAGTAAAATCTAGCGATATGTAATATTAACTTCGATGCCACGCTACACTTAGATTGAATCGATAGACTTATTACAGTGAGAAATAGTTCGTATTATCCCCGAATCGCACAGTTATATCACGGCGTGTGGTGAACTCGTTCTCGGAGGAAAGCCTAAATTAGTGTAGAACTTAACCATTTACCACTATGTGAAACCAACGGGTATGGTGCTTTAAACCTCGAATGACAATCAAGGCGATATTTCACGATCATGGGTATCTGTTGCGTCTAAGGCACGCAGCTTCAAACAGTGAATTGAGGCGCTCAGCCGACCGGGTCACCAATGCCCACATGCAATAAAATAACAGGTTGCCTGTACAGAAAGAAATCAATGACTTCAATAGTCACTCGGCAGCCAATGTGACAAACCAGCCCCACTGTGTTGTTATAAAGGACACGTACATATTTAAAACGCATTCCACATGAGCAGTGAAGCTCGGCAGTCACACACCATGAACTATACACTACAGTGTAGTGTCATGGGATCCGCGGCAATGACGGATAGGTTAAAAGTGACTTGACAAGGAATAAAGAATTTACTGACATAATATAAACGCAAAGGGAGAGCCTTCGTTACAATAAAAACAGATCGACAGAACTACATCCTGGCACATGTTGACAAACAGTGCAGACATATGGGGATCACACAAATCATTATGTATTAAAACGTGAAGGAGGAAGTTGCGAGACTGACAATGGCCTCGTGTCAGGGACTCGTGATCCACTTTTTGCATAAGCCATTGTTTCCTTGTCACGAGGAATAAAAAGGCCTATCACAGTAATTCAAAATAATACTTTTGTTATCTGAAGGCGGGGTATGCTTGCCCGACCAGGATATCTAGTATGTCACTAATCAGGGTTGTCGATGCTGTAGCATGTACATTGAGGCATTAAGTGTAGTTTTATATGATCATCTACCAGGTAAAACTCAACATGCACATCACTGGCAAAGGCGTATTCAATGTTAACTGCACCCGGATAATGGTTTTAACCCATGAGTGAAAATATAATGACCTAGCAATAAGGACACACACAGAACAACCATTATATGATTTGATCACAACGTACACATTATTGGTTTAGGAAATTTTGTCATTTTCAAATTGAAATATATAACTGTTCTGCGCTTTACAAGTAATTACAACTCATAGAAAGTCTCTTAGCCAGGTCCTACTCTGTGTGATCTATCATCATAAAGTCGATGGTCGTTCGTAAATAGCGAACCAGAGGGGATAATAGGTAAGTAAAATAGAGCGTGTAAAAAAAGATAGAGAGGGATGAATAATATATAAAAGGATAATAGAGTGGTACAAAGGTGAGAGAAGAGACTGAAGAAAAGGAAATGTTGCGAGAGAAATGGGGTATACAGATGGATGTTTGGGTGGAGAATGGGGGATATATGGAGAGAAAGAATAGAAGGCTGAAATGTTGAGAGAGATATAGGTATCGAGATAGATGTAGAGGTAGAGAAGGGGATATAGAGAGAGAGAAAGAAAAGAGATTGTGTCAGAATGAGACGGAGATAAAAGGAATCGTAAAAGAAAGATGTGTGATACTGAAAGTTAGATATCATACAAAGCGAGATAGAGAGAGAGAGAGAAAGAGAGACGTAGCGATCGAAAGAGGTAGAACGAAAAGGGACATACAGAGATAGAGAACAATAGGGAAGATAGAGGTACATGTTGACATCGAGAGTGTAGGCAGAAGTAGCGAGATGTGAATTAATGTGGACAATGCGAGGGTAGATAGTGATGGAAAACGAGAGTGTAGACAGAAGTAGCGAGATGTGAAATAAATGTGGACGATGCGAGGGTAGATAGTGATGGAAAACGAGAGTGTAGGCAGAAGTAGCGAGATGTGAAATAAATGTGGACAATGCGAGGGTAGATAGTGATGGAAAACGAGAGTGTAGGCAGAAGTAGCGAGATGTGAATTAATGTGGACAATGCGAGGGTAGATAGTGATGGAAAACGAGAGTGTAGGCAGAAGTAGCGAGATGTGAATTAATGTGGACAATGCGAGGGTAGATAGTGATGGAAAACGAGAGTGTAGGCAGAAGTAGCGAGATGTGAATTAATGTGGACAATGCGAGGGTAGATAGTGATGGAAAACGAGAGTGTAGATACAGATGAAGATGGAGAACGAGAGGGTAGAAACATAATTATATGTGTGGAGAATGAGATTTGTAGACTGAAATAGAGATGTTAACAGGATGTAGATATGTACAGAGATGAAGAACGATTGACTAGCTAGGGATAGATGGAGAACGAGAGGGTAGAAACATAATTATATGTGTGGAGAATGAGATTTGCAGACTGAAATAGAGATGGTTAACAGGATGTAGATATGTACAGAGATGAAGAACGATTGACTAGCTAGGGATAGATGGAGAACGAGAGGGTAGATGCAGAGAGATGGGTAAGATAAAGAATGAGATGATAGATGTAGAGCGATGGTAACAAGAGGGTAGGAAGTGGTAGAGCTTGCGAACGAGAGAGACGAAAGAGGTAGAGGTGAAGAAAGAGACAGTCAGTAATGATTGTAATCAACAATAGGTGTAATCAACCAATCACAGCATAACTTGTTAACTGACCTGGCTAAAGACCTTACCTATTCCTGATGGTATGATGTCGTGCGTTGTAGAAAAAGCTAATGACGTTGTTGACCTAGGAGCCGTTGTCGTCTGCGATGTAGTCATGCCTGGGTGGGACATAGCCTGATGTGTGTGTGGAACTTTTCTAACGGTCGTATGTGATGTGTGATGCGTCGCCATATGTGTTGTGTGTTTTGTGTGTATTTGAGTTGTTTGGGGGTGTGTTGCGTGTCTAGTGGGTACATGCGTCGTTTGCATAGCTGGAGCATCAGTCGAATGTTTATGTGGACTATATGTCGTGAGTTTGGTGGATGAATGCGTCGTTTGTTTATTTGGCGCATGCGTCGCGTGTTTAGTTAGGTGATGAGTCGTTTGTGTATTTGGTGCATTCGTCGCGTGTTTAGTTAGGTGATGAGTCGTTTGTGTATTTGGTGCATTCGTGGCACGTTCAGTTGTTGTTGGCCCTCCACGTGTCACACTGGATGGGGAAGACACGTGTCTTGTGGTTACAGTTGTTGTTGGCCCTCCACGTGTCACACTGGATGGGGAAGACACGTGTCTTGTGGTTACAGTTGTTGTTGGCCCTCCACGTGTCACACTGGATGGGGAAGACACGTGTCTTGTGGTTACAGTTGTTGAACGGGCTGCAAAACGAAGAACTGTTGTGTAGTTATCAAGCGTATATGGAATTTAAGGGGAAATATGAACTGGACGCAATATTGGATTCTTCTATATACGTCTGCGTATACCGAACTTTATATATCAAACAAGGTTTATCAACGCATATTGGTTCATACTAACGATGTCTCGACAATTTGAGTATAGTTTTATTGTATTCCTACAATACGTGAGTCTAACAGCTCATGAACCATTACTACAGTGATCTGTCCGTGGAATAGAGTTGTGGATGCTTGACCTTTTAGTAATTCTGGATTTCGGTTTCATATTCTTTTGGGGGTTTGTTCTTGTGTGTTCTATTAGGGTGTGCATTTGAACTTATGAGCATATAATAATTGTATACATTTCATACATGTATACTTTGCTGATTCTTTGATTATCTTTCATTTTATTTCGTCCAAATTATTATTGTATAACTGCCATTCATCCTTTATACTTTATAACGTGATCGATCATATCTGTTTTCTTTGCAACTAAACATAAACTAAATCTTAAGACCATTTAGCAATGGTCTGCGTATTGGTGCGTATTGGTAAAAGGCGAATGTACGTTTCCATCATAAGAAGAACAAAACTGACAGATATATATATACGAAGCACGTACGTCTACAAAAGCCGCATGTCAGTGGACAGAAGTCCTTGGATATGTCAGGGTCCGTGCAGGCCTCTCCAACAGCTCTGTGACACGGGAATAGGGACTGGTCACGACATGTGGACGGTGGAGCAAACGTCAACGTCGCCGAAGTCCCCCCAACGCTTGTGGTTGTCGCTGAAGGTGTAGGTAGGTGCTTTATACCAAATGCATAGTCGAGACAAGTGTGGTCGTTGCAACAGAACACACACTCCTTGCTTCCTGCGGATTGAGTGCAGTCGGGTGGGTACTGATTTGATGGTTGGAGGCACTGGAATATCGTGGAAGAACATGAATGCCTAACATAAATCAACAAGTCATGGGCGCCTGGAACGAACAACCAAACTACTGACCCAACCCTGGAGATATATATAAGACGCAGATAATGTTCTCCGTTACACAGGATACTTACCGACGAGTTGTGAGAACATCTAGACGACCATTTCCCATCAATGTTCTTTATTTCACATGTCTGAAGTGAAAGTTTTATATTTGTATATCACTACAATGTAAAACGAAATCGTTATTAAATATTATTTAAAACATTGTTTATAACGCCTTATCAATCGGGTTAGGAATTATATATTCATGGATGCGAGAAGTTCCTTCAATGATATGGTATGATTTACTCACTCTGTGGTGATGTTCACAGGGTATGACATTGTCCAGGCATCTCTGAGGGTCGTCTTCATTATGACAAACTGGACAATGGATCACACCAGGCACCGTGTCTAACCCTGACATACATGAAGTACAATTACATCCACATGCTAATCTGTTGAGGATGACAAGATGTATGTGGCAACGTGACGACTAGTTTTTTGTGTCACACAAGCAGTGTGACATTTGTACTTACACACAACCCAACTTTTGGGGGATACTCCAGTCTCTAAATGGGACTGAATAGCTTGAGAATGTTGTCAAGCGAATAGTGTTCCATATTGTCAAGGCACTAAATCATTTTCAGCTTTATGTTAAGTAACATAGACATAATTACACTTATAAATTAAGTTATTATCCAGTTTGATAACAACATGAAATATCCTTGACACATGTTGATTACTGTATATATTTCCAACGGACACATTCATTGTAGAGACATAAGAACATATTAACAATTAATTATTATTGTTTACAGCCAAGTTATTTATATCACATGGATAATAACAAAAAAATGAACATGTAATATGAAACTCAATTGAAAGCTATTCGTTTCGCATGGTGTACATCCAGAAACTATACTGAGGAACATATCATTACAAAAGATATCCTATGATTATACAGATTGACCCTAACGATGTATACGCTTGATCGTAGCATCTTCTTACCGTGTTGTACGTGCATCATCCTAGATTGGCAGATGTCCCCGGTGCAGCACACAGTACACTTGTCGCGGGGTCCAAATGGATGTGTACCTCTACAGTCAGTAGTGTCTTGTAGACCATCATACTCACATCTCTAAAGTCGGTGACATGAAAAGAATGTTTACTCTTTACGTGATTATAAAAACCACGTTGCCAGTAGTAAATGTGTCCTATAATTGAATGAACATTTCAACATGAGACGTTTATTTGTACAATCTTCCACAGGCCATACAGATATTTATTATACCTTATATTGTCTTGTTATTCATGACGAACGCAAACATTTTTTGGCAGTTTATATATTTGCGCATGGTCATAATAACCTTTCTTTGAACTTAGTTTGTACAGAAAAAAGACTAACCTGAGCATGATGGACGAAATGTTGAACGTTTGCAACTGTTAATGTTTATTCGATATCGAAAAGGCGAGCAAGAAAGCAAAGAATATCTAGATGGAACACAATGTTTCTACCCTTAGTCGCGAAGGATAAAAACGCAAAGGGAGCGTACGAAATGTTTTCAACTTTCAAGGAAATATATGTGAATGTCTACCTTCATGGTGCCACACCCGAAGGTCACGTGCCATTCATCCAAAACCCCAATGCACACCTAGGAAAATATATATATGTGTCATCAAGAACAGTAGGATGACGTAACACGTTGATCACGAGGACTTTGCTACAACTAAAACATTTTACCACAATGTGATATGAAATGAACGATTTATTAGGGACACACACACACACACACACACACACACACACACACACACACACACACACACACACACACACACACGTGTACAGATATGCCGTTTGCTATTGAAATATCACGTCATGTGATTGCACGATGTATATTGTATGAAAATCAATACATTACTAAACAAATTGATATATTTAATGATATTACTAAACAAAATAAAATGTATTCTGACTACAGACATCTTGGAAGGCGCTGCAGGTCTCTGTACGTTCCAGACAGTGGTTCACGTTCTGCACCCGGTGGCAGCTCGGACATTGTAGTGCCAACACATTGACTGTGAACATAGTGTAGACATACGTGATATATTAACATTGCTTTTTATGTTTGACATGTTGTATTTTGAGGAGGAACAATGTGTACATTAAAGCCCACTTATAATTACGAAGAATAAGCCTTTAGTGAGTGAGTTTGGTTTGGGGTCTCTCAGGGCAGTATTTTATTTAATACATGTCATGACGTGTACGGTGATATATCACGGGACAAAATCCAACTGAGATGGAAGTCATGGCTGTATATGCTACTGGAAAACAGACGATCATCAAGGTGACGGTCTTGGATAAGACACCAGCGATCCATGAATTGTTAAGTGAGTGATTTGGCCAAACGTCTCTGGCCCACTCATTCCCGAATATTTGTTCTGAACACACACTTACTGACTAAACCGTAAACAAAATTATATTGGTTTGCATACATTTCCCCACACAAACTAGATTCTAATTTGCGTTTCTGGAATGAGACGTACACAATCAAACAAGTAGTCTATCTCAGTGAGCAAAGGTACGAGGTGGCGATATCAACACTCCACAGATATTTGACATTCCAGTCAATGACACATGTTATTGCTCGGAAGTGTTCTAGTATACGTTACATATAGTCTGTAACAGACAATATCCTACCAGAGCTTGAACAGATCATCAAAGCAAAGTAAACCAGGAGGATTTCACAGTGATCCATTGCCTTCGATATATTCCATTGACCTATGTTGACAGTTATATCACACAATGTACCTATAGGTGTACCTACTGGCCTGGAACATGTGGGAAACGGTGGACATGAAACACATGTTGACCTCCAACACTCTGTGAAAAGATCCTCTTGCTTGGTGTGGAAGTCCGACGTTCATGCCAAAAAAACGTGATAAAGGAACAAGTTTGCACTGGTTCAGATTGCTACCTGTTAGTAACTGTGACATGCATCACTTGTTGAATAGCAATATAAAAATATTACCATTTTAGGATTATAAACATATGTGTTCACGTCAAACTAATATTGGATGCCATACAGATAAGCGTAAGGTGAATCAGAAACTTTGTTAAAATATTGACGCACATGTTCTCACTTTAAAGATAATAATAAGATAGATGGATTAATACGAAAAGGGAACATGGAACAAATCACATACATGACGTTTTTATACCCTGTTTTCAGAATTGTTTTTCTGTATTACTAAATATTCCAAATATGCTCAAACAACAAAGCCAATTGAGTTGCTAAATACAAGACTATGCCCAAGTAAACCATTCACAAACAAGGATATATATTGTCTGGAATACATTATCTACAAAATTATATAAGGTGTGTGTATAATGCACTTACACATATATATTAAACACAGTGTATTCTTACATCGAGACACACTAAAAGATGTGTAATAAATAGAAGATAAGGTATAAATTTGGAAATTCAATATGTTAATAACCACCTCACGGACCCATATATTAAGAAGATAAATATTGCTTTTTCATTATATTTTACACTCATGTAGTCATGCAAAATACGTCAGAAACATGATACAGTACCTGCACATAACACCGTTGATTTGGAAGATTGGGTGCTCTTCCTTTGGGACACTTTATGTCTGCACAAGACTATGATCTACAGCACCTTTTCTGTTGATGAATGATGACCGGATATTGGTTAATGCACACACGCTTAGTGTCGTTCATTATTAGTTGTTACCATGAACAATGCTATGTGTCCTTCAGCAATGCTGTGAATGACAGTAGAGGGTTGGTGTCCTTGCATGTCACTTATTTACCTAATATTGAACAAGGACCATGTAATGTTTGTTGCAGACACTGGGTGTTCTTATTTTACTTCCTTGTAGGCGGCCTAAACAAGGACTAATATGCTTCCACTGCGACCATGAACTACTGGAGTCATATCGCGATCGCCTGTGTGTTCTACATGCTTCGGGTGGCTCATGCAGGTGAGGTTTAATGAATTAGATAATATTACTTTGACATCTTCACAGTGACCTTTTACTGAAGGCTAGTGGATACGTATCGCTTCAACAGAATATTTCAAAACACCTAAACAGGTTGTAAGCGAGGCAGTTCGATTCTGAGCGGGTCCGGATTGCATTCGAATGTGTTTTATACTCGGAGCCCTCCGACAATGTACAGTTATGCACTTGATCGCCTCCGTGGTCGAGTGGAAAAAGCGTCTGCCAGGAAAGCGGAAGATCGGGGGTTCGACTCCCGGCCGCGTCTTACCAAAAGGCATGAAAAGATGGTGCGTGTACTTACCCTGCCTGGCGCTAGGCATTAAGGGACTGCAACAAGGACTGGTCGCCTGGCATTGAGTATAATGTGTCTGTGTTGGGAATCGTGTTAAACTGCGGCATGATAACTCAGTGGGCTAGCATTATACAATCGGCATTTGTCCGGTTAGTTCAAGCAGCCACACACACACTGGCATGCGCGTCACTCTTTAAGTGCAATACTAATCATCGCGACGTTCAACCCAATTCCGAGATGACAATTTAACACAAATCATAACATTAGTAGAAAATATGTAAATGTCCAAGTGAAAGGGCTGAAATCACACCTTCCGCAATCGGTTTACAAAGCAAAACTATTTAGGGGCGTTGTCTAAAGATACCGACGCAACGGTGCAGCGGTGCGTGACAAAGGTTTTCAGAAATAGCAGAAACAGTTTATGTATAGCTGCTGAGAATCACACCTCAGCAGCAATATATACAAAGTTTCAGCTATGTCTGTTAATCCTACAAATATTGTAACATTTTATACATTGTTGACATTGCAAAACGTCACCTCTAATCTTGATATTGTGAACAATTGATTCATAATTGATTATCGGTAACTAGCGTTGTAATACTAACATCCTGTTGGGTGCAATCAACGGTGACTTCCCACTTGTCCAGCGACATAATATTGTGCTTCGTGACAAAGTCATCTTTGGTGTTAAAAGTGGTCGATCATCCTCATATCCAATGAATGGAAGTTTGACGTCCGATTGTTAACATGAGCTTGCTTTTGGCAACACCAAGTGCCGACTCCTCTTACAACTGGGAATAAACTGTAACTTGTCTGTAATTCCTTTTATAGTCCAAATCGTACTAAATAATTATTATGTTCACTCGACAATTGATATATATTTTATTTGTGTTAAAAAGTTTCACACAGTACAATGTATGTAAATTAAGTTCCCCAACTAATTGTTTGTGAGATATTCACCAATTAGTTGTGTCATATGCGAGATGCCCTCCTCATCCAATCACCATGGTCAAGGGAATTTCTACCTGTGTTCATTACTTTCAGCCATGGGAGCCGTGCCAATTTACACTTGTCAGAGGGGTACACAAAGTACGTGATCTAGACTACCAGTTGTCGGACTTTCATTTTGTGGTAGCCTCGGTGACTGAGTGAGTTAGATCGCTGACTTTGAGTGCTGGCGATTAGATGTTGCACTCTCGCAGAGTGGGTTCTAGTCCCGGATGAGACTCAACTCCAAAAAGTACTGGAATCTGTTATCCCAAATATAACATTTGTGACATTAACATAGGCACCACCTGTAGTGTATTAGATGTAGTGCTTTAAATTCAGGTTTGGATTGTTTTAATCATGAAACGTGTTCATGATCAAACGGGTCCTATCTCGAAAGTACAATCACATGCGAGTATTAAACATTTGAAATGATATTATAACAAGATATTGTATGATAATATACCCATGCATATACATATACTAACACGCATATATATTGGGGGTGACAATACTTATGAGCATGGGTGTGTACTGTCATAAGAATATAGTACACATATTTCAATGATGTGGGAGTGTAAAAACATATACAATTATGGTCCTTACACAGAAGAACTGTTGTCATGTTACTTCAGTTCATTGGTGAAAATGGCAAACTCAAGAGGACAATCAACCAAACATATAGACTTGACATCATTTGTGATTCCATTTGGTTCTAAATATATGTTAGTTATTAACACAGGGGAAGTCGGAAGCAATATTTAGTTCACATGAGCTCATGCACGCCAACCCTGTGGGGATTCCTAGTCAGAATGGACCTGAGCAACAATTTCAGATGTTCAACATGAAATGTCGTTACAGAATCCACAAGTAGTGGCACTTCAACATCAACAGTAAAAGAAAGCGGACAAAAAAACAGCAGGTATGATATTCTAATGCAGGGTATCTGTAATATTTAACGTCTTTCGGTATGTCTCGACCAGGAATCGAACCACCGGCCTTCCGCTCTCCGAGCAGACGTTTTATCTACTACACCACGGCGGCCATTGTTATTAGGATGATCTATGAACTATGATACCACAGCCTCGGTTGCCCAATCAGCAGGCACTGCAGCACAAACACGAGAAGACAACTATGGTTATAATCTTCTCCAGAAGGAAACAAACACCAAGACAGTCCAGAATGATTACGACACTACCGCTTCTGCAAACAAGGCAGTAGCAAAGTTAGGAAGGATTGAGGAAAAGACTGCTGAAGACGACTATGACCATTTTCCTGTACAAGCTCTGAAACTCCGAGTTCATATACAGGGAAAGTTAGAGGTCGTTCTGATGATTAATATGCATTTCCTGGACCATTGCAGTGAGCATATAAGTATCACCTTTATATTTTCGACATTTCTGGTTATCATCAGGTGAATGATCAAAGTAAAGTAAACTACGGTTATAACGAACTCAAAGGGACCACAGATTTAAGTTCGATACAAATACTTTACAAATACATGTTTACTATCCATATAGAAGTTGAAAATGTCCCATAGTTAGAATTTATTATGAATGTATTAGACAATTGCGGTCTATCATATGTATTTCAAGCCCCATCGGTATGTTCCACGTCATGGCTGGCCTCAGTGGTTGAAATGGTATTAAATTCAGAACTTATAACCCTAGATTACCCGTTGAAACTTGTCGATGGCTGAACATTCCCAGGGAAGACTGCCAGTGACTACTCTGTGATTCACTCGCTGCGGGAGATGAATTTAACTATTTAGTCCGATGTGAAACTTTTCACTAACAGCGATATGAACTCTTAAGTTTCCAAACCTGTCCCAATTTAGGAAACGTATGACCACTAACAGTGTAAGTGATCTAAAAGGCCTATCTAAACTCCTTAACAATGTGTACAATACAGTTGGTAAATTGTATTAGTATCTACGTATCCTATTTTTATTATTCTTGTTAAATGCTGTCGTTTTGTACATAATAAGAATTGTATATGACTGTATCTCATGTACCACCGTTGGTGGTTTTTCTGACACTAAATGAATTTGAGTTTGAGAATCGGTGGTCCGTAGATATTATTCTATGGCTGTAGAAACGCATACTTTTATCATGTATTGATTTGATATATGTTATTTCATATATGTTTACTACCTTATTCATGTATTGAAAATGTTTCCGTAACTTTCATTTTCACGCATTAGCACGATTATCTAGTACTTGTAGATATCTGGCAAGTAATTATGGTCATTTTTGCCACCTCAATAGTTGTAAGTATCTGGTAATAAGTCGTTAATAGTACCGTTCGATAGCTTATGTTCAGCGCTTTATTTTGGAACTTACATCTTCCGTATTGGTTTAGTAGTTAGTTTTCTATTCGGGTTTTTGCTACGTTGAGAAACACCCTTTGTTAGGTCCGCCATGCCAGGCTTTCGCTTTTCCCATCGCTGACGAAACCCTTGTCAAAATCATGTGTCCTTATCAGCAGCGAAATCGGCGAATTACGGGGCAGATTGTTTCTAGTACTGACATACTCTGGTATGCAGCTAGGGTTGTTCATACTCCGTTTTTCTAGTAATCCGTTGATAACCAAATTTCCCGTGATTGTCTAGCTTAGGTCAAGTCCCTTATATTTTTGGGAAGTTTAGAATTTTCTTTCCCCTTCAAATTGGATGATTCTTTAGTCTTTAAGACTAGTTTGATATTCAGGCGTTATTGTCTATCTCATTGTCCAAGAGACTTTTTTTAAGGATATGCCCTCTATTTCCCACCATTTAACCAATGGTTAACTAACTCTCGGGTGTTAATTGGTCGCAGGCGACTTAATTGGCTGTCTTCGCATCTTTCATTATCTTGTCAAAGTGTTGATTTAGCTACTCTCGCGTTATCACTGTTATACAGTTGCTAAGTATATAATCAGCTTGTGTATGTACTCTGATTTTATTAATCAGTGATCATTGTCGGTTGGTACGTCTTTTGGTATGACGCGAACGCTGAACCTTCCGCTCTCCGGGCGGACGATCTACGACTAGACCACGGAGGCGGCCTATAGACGAGGAAGATGCATATTATTCTGTTGTTGTTACATTTTTAAGGAGCTTTGAAATTGCAGGCCTGTATTGCACATAAGGCTACCTTCTACTTCAACGTCGATATTGAGAGAGATGTTTTGTCATATTATTAAAGTACCATACAAATCACGGACTGGGTGACAATGGGTATTTCGAGACAAAATTGCATATACAATCAATGCCATGAGAACGTTGACTGAGAAAACGTATGCGCAGATATGATGCCTTGCATGCTTACATGGGTATATTTTAATGTTGGTTTTACTCAGTATAATACCTTCTGTATTTGACAATAATAGGGTGCCCTTTTCACCTATTTGGTACAGTTTTCGCCAGTCTATTATGTGTTAGCCAAGCCCCGTGCGTATAGATTTACGATGTACAACCACACGGGGTCCTGAAGTTACTTCCTGGTTGATCACCTGAACGTAGAAGACTGACATGCTCGCACTACTAACTAAAATGGACTTGTGGAGTTTAATAGCCAGTTTGTTCTACATTCTGCATACAGTTCATACAGGTAAGCATAACTACACGCTGATACTGGATATAAGCAAGTGAGATTCAGTGTGATCATGAACAGAAAGGACATCGAAAATCGATGCTATTGATGATTACGTGTAGGGCACGTACCCTACTGTTAGCACACTGTGCTAACAGTAGGGTATGTCATATGTACACGTTCCATGGATACATGGTGTCATCACTTTTCAAGTTAATCATTAATTTATAACTTAGCTGCTTGTATGTAGGATTGCGTTTTGACTCCCTTTAAAGTCAAATCTTTTACTGTGATATGATACCTTCGTCATTATCTGAGGACACCTCGCCAAACCCTGCGCACGTTTTCTATGGCCCGGTACACAAGCCGGTAAAGTCACGGGTAGAGTGTCGCGAGATACTCAACAGTAAATGTTATAAATGTTATTTGTGTCTCATCAAGGACAAACAGTGCCTACCCGCCAACAATTGTATGCTAAAGTGATCCGACTGCATTTTCAAAGGATAACTATTTTTGTGCATGATAATACCACGTGTGCAACGTATGAAGTAAACAGAGCTTTGTTGTTACACTGTACTGTCCACCCGCTTCAGTGTGGGTCGTCCCGTCTCATGTGTAATCAACGGGGCGACAGTGTTTGACAAGGATGTATATTACAGCTAACATACAACGGCAAAATATGCTACTTCCTTGCAGACCGTCTAAGACTAAAATGATTGCATTACAAACATGAATCATTGGGGAGCGGTGGGGTAGCCTAGCGTGAAGCCAATTGCCCGGTGTCCCCGCCGTGATATTGCTGGAATATTGCTAAAAGCGACGTAAAATCATACTCACTCACTCATGAATTATTGGCGTTTTATTGTCATTTCGGGTTGCATTCTTCGGGAGGTTTACGCAGGTAAGACTTAATCTTACTAAGTCAGTATGGTCCAGGTTTTTAAATGTATGTGATGCGTTTGAAATCTTATGGACATCACACTGTATAAAAACTTTCCTTAGGAGACATGCTGATGCGTTTTGAGAACACAATTTGTCACCGTCTTTTCTATTTGATAATTAACTCTGTCCATTGGTGTATTATGATGGAAATACGAAGCTTATCCCTTAAGGCCCTGATTTTCTGAAATTGCACAGCTATTTATGATGGTTGTGTCTTTTTAACAATGTCTTTAACCCTCTTTTCTTTACGGTATGTGTGTGTGTTGAAGGGACAGCGTATAAAACAATATCTTACTTGAAATGTCGACATTTATCTAAAAGTTTTAGCTTTTCATATGCTTTATTATTTTGATTATCGTTTGTATATGCCTTATCAAAAAGTACAATTGAAAGATTGTATATTTGAGGTAAAACAAAGTGTACGTTAATGTGATAACCATCATAGATAAACCCTTGATCCAGTTTTCTCAGACTGTATTTGTATGGAGCATATGATATATTTTGTGACAGAGATACCCATAGCCATTAGAAGATAGCAAAACCACCAATTATATATTGACTATATACGACAAATAACACTCATCAGAAGTGTGTTAATATGGGAAAAAATAACCTGGTCTTATCAGATTTGTAAGTCGATCGTTGCTGGAATGAACTGATTTGTCTTGTCAGTTTCGCTGTTTTTTTGGATTTTATATTGCTGGTTGTGGCGTAAAACGTAATTAGTATATCATGTTCTACTTATTCTATTTTACCTATGTGCTATCCGCGACTCACACAGTTGTCCTGACTATATTAACTTGAGACCGCCCCCGTTCTCTAGAGGTAGAGCAACCGCCCGGAGAGCGGAAGGTCCGGGGTTCGATCCCCGGCCGCGTCATACCAAAGACGTTAAAAGATGGTACTTGTTGTTACCCTGTAGGGCGCTCGGCATTAAGGGGCTAAAACAAGGACTGGTCGGCTCGGAGTCAGTATATACTGTGTCTGAGTTGGGTATCCATGTTAAACTGAGGCATGGTATCTCGTGAGCTAGCACTATCAATCGGCATCAGTCCGGACTAGTACAAGCAGCCAAACAAACACACACACGTACATGTACATGCACGTCGCTATATGAGTGCAATAAACCCCATTTCACCTCACCTATTAACTTGAATAATATATACAATAATTATTTCGGGTAGGTGTGTTGTCAACATTTTCGACTCTCATTGCCAGTTATATACATCTGCATAGACCTGTCTTGACACTTTCAATTAGGACTGGAATGACCGAATTTTGTCTTGTCACTTTTTCAATAAATGCTTTTTTAATGAAGGAGGGAAACATATTGCTTTTACTGTCAACGCAAATATTTTCCAATTTTCCAAATGGTCTGTACCTAAAGTTGATATGTAAAGTTGAATGAATGAATGAATGAATGAATGAATGAGCATGTCACAGATTCATAGTAAAACAATTAGGTACATCTTATGAAGTGTCTTATTGAGACACCGAGACACTAACACATGTAAATTTACGGATAAATTATGCATGTTTTGTACACTTACAAGATATTTGTTTGAGCACGTTCCCCAAAATTTTCTAAAATAACATTATTTTGCAGTTTCATTTTAGCATCTTGGTTGTCATGAACAAAGGCTGAATTCGTTGACATTTTAAAAGAAACTGTTTTTCATTTTCAATAAAGTTAATAAAACAGAATTTACAAATCTTTCATTTGGTGGAATACAATATGTGCCTGTTTCTATTTCTAGTTTTAAAGAGCCACACCTTAAAGAAGCTAAAATATAATGGGAGCGCAATAAATAAGGTTCTGTTTTAAAATACGACATAAAATGCTTCTATGTTCTGAATTTGGGCATCGACTGGATTATTTTATACTAAGCTTTCTGGTCTTTTTCCCTGAGACACATGGTGTTTGATTTAAACTCCATCCTGATAGTTCGCTCCACGTTATAAATATCTGTAATACCAAAGTCGGCAAACACTTTTTAAACAATATATCTCCATGATTTACTGCAATGGTTTGACCAAGGCCGTGCTGTCTCTATGTAACCTCAGAACGGGGATCTAGTTAACCCATATATCCTCCAACGACAGCACTATGTAAGTCCTTGAAAGCTCTACAGGCACGACATTGGATGGCGCACGTGTACATTACCTGATAACTGGTGGGACCCCATATTTCTGAACAAAACTTTAGAACTCGTTGTGCAAGACTGTCAAAGAGACTGGTAAAACCATTGCAGTGCATATCTCCACATAAATAATACTTGCAGCAGGAAACCCACTGGTTTTGAGAAGGACTTGATTAAATATTGTACAGCCAGTCATCCATAACCTAAGGTACCTTGCTAACATTCATTGAAATCAACAATGTAGGGACATTAAAAGTCTTTATACTGTGACATATTCATCAGTCCCAAATGAATAACGTTAGTCTTCTTGTAAATTTATTGAAGCTATCCAGTAAGCGCTGCAATCTTGCAGTGTCTGAGGATAACAGCACAAAAGAGGACTGACACATGTGTACATTGCCATTATAAATTTGTATTCCACAATTAGCCTGCTTCAGTTCCGTAGCCAATTCATTATGAAGATAGTGAAAAGAGTAAGACACACCCTTGTATGTGGTTACATTTCACCGGGATTGCCTAAAAGTCGGGCCGGGCCGGGCCAAGACGGGCCAAAGTGTTATTGGCTAATTACTTAATTATCGGCGATCATATCTACATATTATTGATGCAACATACACACATGACACTACTGAACAATCACCAATCCAAAACGTGCAGCATAATTAAGTAATTCGGATTAAATCACTTAAAAACTAGAAAGTGGAGCTGTGTGTTAGCGTCGCTGATCTAGGTAACATGTAAAAGAGCAATCGTTAAACGAAACAGGATTTGACACGTATCAAATACTTCTAGCTATCGTCATACGAATTTCCATCTGTCGGCATAGCGTTTATATTATAGGAACGTACTATATCTAAGTAAATACCACTTTATAACGTCACTGTTCATCGTATTTAAAGCAGACACGTTGGTTAAAGTAGACCTCTTCTCCCTCTACTCTCGACAGTCACACAGTTCGCTCCGACTTGGCCCGGGCTGTCAAAATCAACTTTAAACAGACAGATTTATCTTCAAATGTGATTACCTCTATAGATTAGTGTTATATCTACATATACACCACTTTATAATGTTACAGATCGCAGTATTTATAGACAACAAGGGGCTCAAAGTGAAGCCCTTTTCCCTCTACATTCTCAACATAGTCTCTATCAGAAGTGTTTGGCTTGTGTTGGGTCCGACTTGGCCCGGGCGGTCAAAATCAACTTTAAACACACAGATGTATCTACAAATGTGATTAAATCTATAGATTAGTATTATATCTACCTATACACCAATTTATAATGTCCAGGTGTATCGCATTTAAAGAAATCTGCGCCCTTAAAGTGAAGCATTTTTACTTTATTTTCTTTAAAAAATCCAAGTCAGAAATGTTCGGTCCGACCTGGCCCGGGCTGTTAAAATCAACTTAAACCTCACAGATGTATCATCAAATGGATTCACATCTATAGATTAGTATTATATCTACCTATACACCACTTTATAATGTCACAGATTGCAGTATTTATAGACAACAAGGGGCTCGAAAGTGAAGCCCTTTTCCCTCTACATTCTCAACATAGTCTCTATCAGAAGTGTTTGGCTTGTGTTGGGTCCGACTTGGCCCGGGCGGTCAAAATCAACTTTAAACACACATATGTAACTTCAAATGTGATTAAATCTATAGATTAGTGTTATATCTACCTATACACCAATTTATAATGTCCAGGTGTATCGCATTTAAAGAAATCTGCGCCCTTAAAGTGAAGCATTTTTACTGTATTTTCTTTAAAAAAAAACAAGTCAGAAATGTTCGGTCCGACCTGGCCCGGGCTGTTAAAATCAACTTAAACCTCACAGATGTATCTTCAAATGTGATTAAATCTATAGATTAGTATTATATCTACTTATACACCTATTTATAATGTCACAGATTGCAGTATTTATAGACAACAAGGG